AAACTATGGTAAAGCCTTCCTCGTACTAACATTCAAAAAGTTTTAAAAAATTAGTTTAAATTAAAAATCAGTTAAATTTTCCAATTGCGGTCGCTCCTCGGCAGGGAATGGCAACCCCTTCTAATGTATTTTTGACATGAAGTAAAAGCTCCTCATTGAAAACCATCACCCGATGGGAGGTGGCTTAGAGGGGCCTACCTACTTTTCGGCCAAAAATTGTTTCAGCGGTTAAAAAGCGCCAATTATATATATTAGGTCAAGTAAAAAGTTCGTTCGGTTTTTATCTAAGAGATGGCGTTATTGTCCATAGTACTACCGTTACGTGTCGCATCATATCATACTATACAGCGCAGTGTTTTGCTTGGTTCCGTTGCGGTAACTTCGATGTCAAAGATGCACTAGGTTTTTTCTGTGTGCTTGGTGGGATTGGCAAAGAATCATCTACTACGAGCTGCTCCCTCCAAACGCTCAATTCGGCCCTCTACTGCCAACAATAGGACCGCTTGAAGGCGGCACTCATCCAGAAGAGGCCATCTTTGATCAACAGAGGCCGAATTGTGTTCGATCAGGACAACGCCAGGCCACACACGTCTTTGGTGACACGCCAGAAGCTCCAGGAGCTCGGTTGGGAGGTCCTAATGCACCCACCTTATAGTGTGGACCTTGCACCAAGTGATTACCATCTTTTCCTGTCCATGGAGAACGCGCTTAATGGTGAGAAGTTGGCCTCTAAAGAGGCCTGTGAAATTGGCTCTCCGAGTTTTTTGCCAACAGGGACGCAGCCTTCTAGGAGAGAGGTATAATGAAGTTGGCAACAACGAAATTTATTAAATCCATTTTAAAACTCGTTGCGGTCGTCACCGCCGTCGTCAAAACCTACGAGTTGTTTTGTTGTGCCACAAAGTGTACCAAAAAAAAAAAAGGAATTACCAAACGCATAACCTTTCCAATAACAAACTTTAGTATATTGCTTCAGTTAATCGAAAGTGCGGTGGCAATTTGTTTTTGCACAGGCCAGTTACTTATTCAAGTGCTGTGTGGCATGCAACAAGGCACGGCATTTACCTTTATTCATTTACTTTGTGCAAAAAAAAAAAAACAAAATTGCAAAATAATAAAATGAACACAAAATGCGTATGACTTATATTTACGTACATATACATACATACAAATGTACATATGTTACACATTTTGAGAATTGCAATCCAAAAACCCACATTCTCCGTCCATGTTGCCAGCAACACACATTGTTGTAACTATTTTTGACTCCGTCACCACCACCACCACCATCAGCACGAACATAACTTGCCGAGTACTAGCGCGTACTTGCTCCCCCATTCTCAGCTGCAGTTGTGCCGCATGTCACGTGTTTCATAATTAATTGCTTCGCTTGTTTTGCCAACATAAAATAAAATTACATGAATATATTTGCTTACTCATATATGGGTACATACATACATATAGATACATACATACATACATATATATATATATATGAACAAGGATATGTAGTTACAGTTATCAATGTTTGCATGTCAACTTTGTTGTTGCCATCCTTCCTTTGGCACCTTTCAACAGCATCCGTGCTGTTATGGTTATTGTTGTTGTTGTTAGTTTGCAACGCTGATTGCAGCTACTGCGGGCGCTCACTTACAGGTTGTACACAGAGTTGTAGGAGTATTTGCCGTTGAATGTTTTTGCTTTTTTGATCTTTCGCTCTTTGTTTTTTTTTGTTTTTTTTTTTTTTTTTTTTGTTTTTTTTTTTTTTTTTTTTTTTTTTTTTTTTTTGGTATTTCCTTTTTTATTTTGTGCGGGCGGATCAACTCGTAAGCCAGGTGCAAGCGATGTGCGGAAAATATTAAATTCAGATGCAAACTTTTTTTTTTTGTATGAATTGTAAATACTCGAAATTTCTTGCTTTCTGTTTGCTTTTTCTCGTTTCTGTTAAAAATTTCAATAAATCAACTTGTGGGGTTTTATATGAAAAATGTAAAAGCGCAACTTTTTGAAGAGCTTTAGTAAGGTTTTTGAGTCTACGGTAGCGTCTATATGCACATTAAACACTACTTTCGTCACTGTCCAGCCGTGTCATCTCTGCGACACAAGTTCCTTGGGAAACACTTCTTCGACTATCTCGCTTAGCTAGTTGCAGCAAAAATTGGCCATCTTGTTGCTTTTATAAGGCACACAAAATGGCTCGAATATTTGGGAAGGCGAAGATGGGAGTCTCACAGTGCGTTTCACATTAGACATATTGGCTCATGTGGCTTGGTCTCTAACCAACTGTCTCCTTTACTAAAAAGCTTCCACTAAAGTTCGTGCCTATACAATCCGTTCCATTACAAGCAAGGAAAATCAGTTGCCATAATAATTATTGAGATGCCATTGATTTACGGCGACTCTTGTCCGAGAAAAATCATGATATGCAAGTGGCACAGTTAAAGAAAGGGAATCCCTTGAAGAAAGCCTGGCTGGAGCATGGAGGCTGCCTTGCCAAAACTTATCAAAAATGTTGAAAAAGTTTTCTCTGATGATGCTCTTAGGAGAAGAAGGACTAATGAAACTAATGTATAGCTTTATTATTTTTATTTTTTAATATATTATTCCTAAGAAGGAGTGCACTTTATACAACGTGAAGACCATGCCTTTATACCACTGAAAATATATTCTTCAGATTTTTCTTCAAATTAGTTTCTGCGGCCGCTTTCATCTAACTGACGTCTGAAAATCTTCGTCCACGTAACTAAAAGAAAAAGTCACTGTAGGGTGAATGACTAATTTTTAAGGTGTCCCTTGCAACCCGGACGGTATGAACGGGGGCCTTGTCTTGCAGCAACAAGACTCCGCGTGTTGACTTACTGACTTACTGTAATTGGCCGTTCATTGTAGTTTCATTTGACAAGTAATCAATTATTAATATTCTATTGCTATTCCTGCTAATGCCAGCCATAATGTTTCCCTTTTTCTTATGCACAGCGTCGAGACCTGCTTGGACTCGGGCTCATACTGACGAATCCAAGTCCCATCAACTGTTACAATGCGTTTGCGGATTTTATCTAAATCATCTTGGTACAACTGCGAAAATATATACAACTCTCCGTAAGCAAAGGTTGAGCATTCGACTGACAGCTGTGGCACCCGTGGGAGAGAGAGAGCAAGAGAGAGAGAGAAAGAGAGAGAAAGAGAGAGAGAAAGAAAGAGAGAGAGAGAGAAAGAGAGAGAGAGAGAGAAAGAGAGAGAAAGAGAGAGAGAGAGAGAGAAGAGTTTCTCAAGTCAAACCAAAATGCTTATTCGAAATCGCTTGCTTGTGACTTTTTGAGCAAAAAATAGCAGTAAAAAGAATTTGTAACTCTTGATATTCCTCAATGAATTCGAAAATAAAAAAATAAGGACTATATTTATATTAAGCCTCATGGCTTACCTGACTTTCCCATTGGATCGCTAAGATTCTATACTACAAATTGGTCAATAATAGAAAGTCTGTTATGTGGGAGGCAGGTATATTTCTGAATTTTAGGTAGGAATTTCTTGTTTTTTGGCATAGATATCAAGTAAATTGAGATTGTCCTCCTTCTGATCCTTCCAACGAAGTGGACGTCTTTGTCTTCCTTTGCTTGCAACGGTGGCTGCTGCGTCGAAAATTTTCAAAAACCCATGTGTAGCCACTGACTACTGATTTGCTGTACTATAGCCTGCCGTCGGATATCTCGCAGAGCTCCTCGCTACATCATCTGCGATATTCGTCAATGTCAATGTGCAAAGTGTGACAAATATTCCGCGAAACCTCTGTCTTGAAAACTTCAAATGCCAAGTCATTGAATGCTGGCATCATTTGTGATCTGCACCGTAAATCGGATGAAAACTTAAAGCGACTTGTAAGATTTAATTTTGTTCGTCCAGAGAGAGCTCTATTCTTAAATTTCCTGCATAGTTCAGGCATGTCTTTATTATGGTTGTTATTGTAATGCTGATCTCTGTCAAACGGCTTGCGGAGTACCTTTCTAATTTTTACTATCGAAGGCACCTATAAAACTGTTGAAAAGAAGATCTTTTATTTTTTTCATGAAGCTTTTTACAGGTCTTTGCGCTTGGTAAATATCTGGGTGTATGGTGAATCTACTAGTTCTAAAACCTTGCTGACAAATTCTATTGGGCTACTTGATGGTGGATTTTAATTCTTTTCATAATATTGAGGATAAATGGCGCAGTCTGGCGGGTCTTCTCTGTTATAGATCTGTTATAGTAACCGAAAGATATTCCCCGAATTGGTTTTCGGTGCATATTGCGGTAGCGATAGTTCTTGGTCGGATAAAAATCCAGGTCGTTGCGGCATAATTTGCCCGACGGTCGCGGGAACTAATGGAATTTTGTCGCCTCTTACTACCGGCATGCCTTACCGCGGACAAATTCCTGAACCCATAACCCGCAGCAGTTCTTAGGCTACAATCGTTGGGCATGCTTTCGTCCGGACATAGTCTGTAAGGAAGCTATTGTGTGGACTTTGTCTGCCCTTCGTCGCCATATTTGAATAGCTCAGTTGGTAAATCAAGCAATCAAACTTCGTCATATTCGAATTATGAAGCAGCGTCTATTCCATCGTCATTTATTGAAACAGTGTATACTCCAAAAATCCAATTGTCTATAGACGACAGTCACAAGATCACCTCTTTGGGTTCAAATTGAGCATGCTGCTGCCTTCAAACTGTCTGCTCGTCTTATCTTCTCGTAGCAAATTCGCGCATTTTGCACGTTTTCTGGAAAAATGTTAGCCAGAAATGATTAATATATATGTGTATGAATGAGTGAATATTTTAACACTTAAGTTTAAGCTATCATCTGTTGTAGAAAGCAAGCGGAACGCGCTGTCTTTTGATTGTTCCATGAGCATTCTTCAACTCCTCTGCATTTTCAACAACCAATATTAACTGCTTCAGCAATTGCCAATAAAAACTATCGAATATTCATTATTATATAGAAAATAATATTTTTTCAAAATTCAGTTTATTTACAGTTACAACCAACCCACACCGATCAACCAAATAAAAAAAAAGAGAAACCAAAAATGCTAGACTGACTTCGTGTGCAGCCAAACACCTGCCAAAACTCAAGCCAAATATCTACAAAAAAACCTTACAAAAAAAAAAAAGAAAAGAAGAATTAAGCAGTGAAAGAGCTCCAGAAATTCTTTAGAAAGCCAAAGAGAAAAAATCCAGCAAATTCAGTGCGCGAAAATGTTTCTGGCAATAAATCAAATGAATGGGCAAGCTGCCAAAAGGCGCAAAAAGGAGAACAAAAGAAGAGCGGCTGCAGCTGTGGCCGCCACGGCTGTCGAAGAGACGGTGCGTATGCGTAGCGATGCAACAATGCCGTTAGGCGAGTTACCAACGAAAGCGGAAGGTATAGCAACTACAACAGCAACAGCGCCTCCATCAGCGCAACCACCAACGCCAATGCGACCGCCAAATGAAGTATCCACATCGAACGCCAGTTCGACGACTAGTTCAACGGCCAATCTCATTGATGATATGTTGCTAGATATTGCAGTCGACAGCAGGACAATAACAGCCGCCGCGAAAGCGACTAAAAATGCAACAATGCTGACAGCAACGGAATTGCAATCGACGGCGAAATGTAAAAAATGCCAGCATGTGCTTTCAAGCGACAGCAGTCGCCGCCAGCAAACCATAGCGGAACAGTCGGCACGCGGAGAACCATTTCAATACACCAAAACGAGCACCGCGCTAGCTGACTGCCGTTGCCGTGCTTGCGATTGCATAAATAAAAGTTTTTACAATACCGTAACGTCGACCTCGCCCAACGTTCCATCCACCTTCAGCCTGCCAACGACACCTCCTCCTACCATGTGCGCACCCCACACACCTACCGCCACGCCGCCCACGTCATTGTATGCGGTGTATATGTGCCTTGGCACGCTCGCTTTGGCCGTAGCCACGCTGTCGGTGCTCTTCTACTCGCATGTGCACTCCACGACCAATAGTCATGGTAGTGGAAAAGTGCCGGTGGTTGCGACGTTAGCGTCAGTGTCAGCGTCGACGTCGTCAGATGTGAATTTGATATTCCGGGAGCAATTTCAACGTGAATTGTTGGCATCGGAGCATGTGTTGCGTGGCATTGTGGTGCGAGTATTGCAACAACAAGAAGGTAAACAAAACGGCCAACAACTAAGATACGAGCAGGAACAAGCAACGCGGAAGCACAATGACGGCCTGTTAGATGGAGCTGAGCCAATCTACAACAAACAGCAACGGTAAGTAGCGAACTGGAACCCCAAACTGACTGAATTTAATACACACAACTGCTTTCTGCCGACCGACCGGGTTGGTGAGTTCATGCTGCAGGCGATGATTAATTGCATTTACAATATTCAACGCTCGCCTACACCATGGAGACCAACATTTCACCATCCATTTGGTGAGGTTTATGGTGCCTGCCAGCGCATTTGTGTGCGCAGCCTGTGGGTGGGTGCACAATTTCAAGGTTTAGTAGTTCAACAGCCGTGTTTTGTTGATGATAGTTGTTGGTAGGTGAAGCGGATAGATGTAATTTGGTTACTACCAGGTGGTTGCCGCCTCATTGGTAACTCCAGCCATAAGCATTCTACGACGGTCGAGGCTACTAATAGCCCCATTAAAAAGCTATCAATATTATGGGAAGTAAATAGAAAATCAATGGCTGATAAAATGATTGAATACGATAAACTAATGAGCTGAGGTGACTTTTTTTTATGGATATGCTGCATAAGGTGAGCATGTTGTTGAGTATTTCTTTCAAGGCCAAGCTCTTTCATTTAAAAAGTCACCACTTTAAATATTAAAGGTAATTGGGACTAAATTAGCCCTAAAAGCCGTTACAAATTAAGTAATACTCGGCTAGTACCCCGGTGGTTCTGAAGTAATTCAGAAAATGTCTAGTTCCAAACTGATATTTGGTAAAGAGTAATTGTACTAGTCCCAAAATAGCTGCTGAGTAATCAAGAAATGGTCTAGTGCCAAACAGAATAATGACAGTTTACAAAATGTTGTCTTCTACCACAGACATTGAGAATTTGTCTGATAGTTGCACTGTATGGCTGATGGTGTCAAACGTTTTCAACAGATCCCGGACGGTCCGCATGTAAGGCCAGTTTGTTTAAGGCTCGACTATCTAAGTGCTTATGCCAATACGCATGTTCCAATTACCGGCCAAAGACAAATTGGGAATCTCTTTAGGGTATTTTGAGGCTTTCGCCTTACCGATAACTCCTTGAACATCTTACCTTGAGAAGTTAAGCGCCGCGCTGGTGTCTGTCAGTTTGCGCAAACGTCGCTAGATCACCTTGTCATTTTAGATATCTAACATGAATGGTCGGCAGTCATTGGTATCATCTCTATGTCAAACTTCAAAACTCTATGCTGTTGAAAAGTGATCTCCTCTCCCTGCTTCTGCTTAACTTTTACAACTCGAAGCTCCTACCTCCCCTCGAGGGCGTTTAATTGAACTCGGTATTGGGGTCTGTACAAGATATTGATAATTTATGTTCCAAATGAACTGCTATCTCGCGAAACTTTCTCTCTTCTCTACTACCCAACAACAAACTGCATAATTATGGCGTAAAAATTCTAACAACTAACGACCCAAAGTTATTTGGAGGTCTATTCGACAGCACTGCTTCACTCCGCATACGAATGCAATTGCCACTTAAATATTGTGCGGCAAAAAAATCTTCAAACCATCCAGGCATATAAGGAAAGGAGCACTACACTACACTGACTCCATCTGGCATCGCTGATACGAACACCTTCATGAACTCTCTTCCATTGCATGCCTTCTCGGAATCTAAGCACCATCTCCATATTGCAGATGAAACACCCGAGCTGTCCCACGGGATTGCGTAATACTGCCGTATAATTGTGATGTGGATACTGCAGTGACTTAATTCTTATCTATCCACACTTGATCCCGATATACTCAAAGTATATCTACGACACTAACCACCTCACCTCTCTGATTGCCACCTAAAACCTACTCATTTATGCTCTTTTTCACTCTGTCTCGAACCGGTCGAAGTAGCTGGACCTTCCGTTAGATGAACTCGACTGACTTATGCTAGTCTCCTCTGGAGAATCCGTTACAGCAACAACAACAACTTACAACTAATCCAGAACTAGTTCCGTCAATGTCTTAGTTCGATTAAATTTGCTTTTAATAATTAACCAATAATAAAGTCATTTTGGACTAGTGCTTAAATATTTTCAAAATAATTTAAAAGTAGTTTGGTATCCTAAATATTCAAAATTATTTCCAACTACGCCGAACCATTTTTGCGTAAGCTGAACGCAGTTGAAAGAGAAATAAAATTGTTGGCCTCAAAAGTGAGCTTCAGAGATCTCAAAAGCAGTGAAAAGGAATTGGACTAGTTCCTAACTCACTCTAGAGTAATTTAGCAGTGATGTATTATGGTATCAGATCAGTCAAGTACCGGCCTCAAAATGACTTTCAACTGCTACAAAACTTCTCCAGTGTAAGTCTTTCAAAGTTACTGTTATGACTAAAGTAGTTAGCATGGTTGTATCAAAAGTGGCCTCCATATACTCCTCAAAGAAATAACTGCTAATGTACTTAGTAAGTTACTCTAAAGTAATTAGGAATTGGTCTAGTTCCAAATAGGTGCAGCACTTGTTTCGTAATAGCTTCCAAACAGCTTCGCATCACGAACTACTCCCCAGCAAGTGTCTCAATGAAACGATCAGATGACAGTCTGAGGGTTGGTATTTTCGGCAGCATTCGAATTGCTTGACCACAGTTGACCATAGTTGATTTTCACGTTGACTAAGACTGAATGACGAGTAAGAAAAAGTTTATGATTATAGCCGTGGATGAGACACCCTCACCCAAAACCGTTCTCTCTGTTCAAACTGTCCGCATATACATAAGTCTTCCAAAATATTGTGCTGTTCAACGACGACAGCGTGAATTGATTCGCAATAGTCTTGGATCCCTTTATGCTGTTCAGTACACAATAGAAGGCATTAGCCTTGGCCTACCTCATTTTCTCAAAATAGTTCCAATTGTGTGCTACACTTGGCATGGCTCAAGTTCAAGGTGAACTCATTGCCTCACAGTGCTTTGTATTAAATCGCCGAAGCGTTAGAAGCGTAAATTGTGCTCCGCACGCAGCTCCGCCCTTCACTCTCATCAAAGATGGTTGCACGCACATCACTGGCGCGCCAAAAACTGCCAGGAGTCCATCTAATGCGGTATGTTGTAAACGGTCGATGTTATTGTTGTAGTTGCTAGCAGTAAAATTGTGCAAATTCTTGGCAGCAAAAGCAACAAATACTCTTATGCTTATTTGCATTTAATTGAATATTTATGCCAGCAAATGTTTTCATATAAATTACGCGGAATTTTAAATTAAACACATTGCAAACGAAACAAATTGCTATGTGTGTGTATGTGTGTGTGTGTGTGTGTGGGTGAATGTGTTTGTGTTAGTTTAAGGAGAAGGAAATTTTCCGAATGCCACTCATATTGAGGTTAATTTGAAAGTGTTCAGCTGAGGGGATACAGAGAAGTTGTGGGGTGGCTAGTTTTGAAAAGGAAATTGTATTTTTTAATTAAAGTGAACATGCATAATTGAATTTCAAATCAAAAATATATATATATATAGCCTTTGTAGCACTGTGATTGTTATGGAGAGCTTTCATTTTATGGCAGAAATATACTCAGAGGGTTTTAATTTATCTGTCGAGTGCGAGCGCTGTTAGAAAAAAATAGTTTTGGACTCGAATACCAATCGTTCAGATGGCAGTGCTTACTCCCAACCACTCGGATATTGTGTTCTCAAAAAGTGTTTGGCGAGTATGGCGCGAAACGCTTGTACCTCACGTAAATTCAACAGTCGACAGTGGCATGAATACAAATATAATAATAATGAAATGTTTCACAATCAAGCTTTCCAAGAGCACGAAATTTAGAAACTCTCGTTGTACTTAGTGCTTTGGATTCGACTTGAAAACTGGTTACATATAAAAGAAGCATACTCCAAAAGAGATTTAACAACAGAGATGGAGAAACAATTACTCTCTACTTTATGTAAAGTTTCATGAACTCTTGAGCACCCATTTCTGATAAGAGTTATTAGCCCCTCAGCTGAACACTGAATTTATTTAATCTGTAGCTGATATGCATTGTCATTGAAGAGTCACTAACCTACAATACACCACACCACAATTTAATATTACACATATGTATATATAAATAACGATTGAAACCGAAAATAATCGAAAACGGAAGACTCTATCTATAGTCTTAATCCAACCGGTTGGTTCATATATGAGGTTTCGGCTCAAAAATGCATCAAGAAACCATATAAGGGCATGAAATTTGGTGTTACACATGTGTATATATAAATAAATATTGAAACCGAAAATCATCGAAAAATCATGGAAATCGAAAGACTATATCATATAGTCCCCGGTTGGTTCAGATATCTGGTTTTGGGACAAAAATCCATCAAAAACACATCCAAGTGCATGAAATTTGGTATTTTACATTCTTATCTATGAAGAAACCTTGTGAAAGAAAATCAGCGAAATCGGATGACTAAATCATAGAGCCCCCATATAACCGTTTGGTTTGGATATGAGGTCTTGGTACAAAAATCTATCAAAAGAGTGTCTTGGGTCATGATATTTGGTATTCTTACACACATATGCATGTACATACATACATACATTGGCATCAAAAATCAATGAAATCAGAAAACTTCATTTATATATAGTCTCCTGCATCCAAATTTTTAGATATGGGAAGTAGTATTTATTCCTAAAATAAAATTTTATACATTTGAAAAATTCAAAAAAGGCTTAAGAGGGCAACGGCATGGCTGAAGACAGCACTCATAATTGTTTTTTGTTTTGTTTTTATTTTTGTCTCGACTGTAAATTTAAACAACCTCTAATGAAAGTTCATTTCATAGTCTCTATGCCGGTTATTTCCCCAATACCAGCAGCTATAATATCGCAATCCTTTTTGTCGCGCTTGTCGCCACATTGAGAAGCTCATTTTACTATTAATAGTCACTACACTTCTCCTCAACTCTTTTAAAACCATAAAAACTTTATGTTGCTTTCCAGGAAGAATAAGAAAAAAAAAATCCATTCGAAAAAGTTTTATTCCTGCCACTTTCTTATTTACTATAAATAATTTTATTTACATTTATTTTTATCTTACAGCACAATGCGAGCGTCGGCAGTCGAACTAGAAGCAACAGCAGCAGTAATAATGTTGGCAAACGATGAAAAAACGTTGGTGAAAAACGAGCGTAAATATGTTGGTCACGCCAACAGACACGTTGGAGATATACCCACACGCCTGGCGTATGATGGAAAGAGCGCAGCGGCGCAAAGCAGCGTTGTACAGCGTGTGGCAAGGAAAGTGCGGCGTGATATTACTTCGTCGCCAGCGTCTATGCATGGTAAGTTGGTTGGTTGAAAAAGTGGAAACTGGGATATCATTGTGGAGAAGCAGAAAGTGCTTTTTGCCTTAAGCACTGAAAAGTGCAGCGGCTGGGGAAATGACGGCGTTGATAATGACACGCTATGCAAATGAAAAATGTACATTTATTTATTTTATACGCTTTGCTACTGCTCACCTGCATTCATTTTATTTTATTTTATTTTTTTTTTTAATTTTTATTTTCTTTTGCTTTTATCAATTATTTACTTTCTTGTGTTCGCTTTATTTATTTACCTGCATTTTTTATGCTTATGCAATTTTATGTTACTTTCTTATATTTTTATATTTGTTTTCATTTGTTTTGTGGCACACTTTGGTTGATTCATTATACTGTTTATTAATAATCATGCAACCAGAAGTTGCAAATTGCAATTTCACTTGGTGCACGTTGCTTGCAAATATATTTTACTTTACTTCTACGTTGTGTTAGTGCCATGCGCTGCGGGCGCTGTTTGGAGAATATTTTGTTTTGTAGTTAGCTTTTATGCAGATTTATTTTTGTTTTATTTTGTGGTTAGAGGACAAATTGCATGAAATTCACAGTTATCTTGCAATACTTTTGCCTTTGATTATACAGCGCCCGCTGGCAATAAGCCTTTTATAAGCAACTCTCTCTGCACTCATCTCGCCCTCAGCGCTCATTTAATGTTTTTTTGGATCACAGAAAGTGCTTAAGTATTTCTCCTACAGAAATATACATTTATAAATCCTCTTAAAAATTATTTCAACTAATATGTTGCAAAGTGTTTTATCCCACGTATGCGTGTGCATGCGTCTCGAGCGAACGCGTCATATGTGGCACGTTCTACTTATGTGTAAATTTATGATGACAGCAAGTGTAATGTGAGAGAAATGTGCAGTGAAGGCAGTGTGTAGTTTACAACCATTTTATTTGCCCTCCTTCAGCTATTGTAAATGCAAATTACGTATACGCAGCGGCGCACATTTGCTGGGAAAATGCGTGCGCATGGAAAATGAGGCATTAAATCATTTACTGAATTTAGCTTTTTCTTATGGAAATTTCTGGATTTAAGATTTTATTTCTATTACATTTTAAATAATTTTTTTTTTACTTTTATTTTTATTAAATTCAATAAAAATATTTTTATTCAAGATCAGGTGTGCTTAATTATTTTTATAGATTCAAATCACCTAGAAAAAAATGTCGCATGGTTCTGATACATTTGGTGTGGCGTACTAACTTTGGTTTGAAGTATGTAACTACCAGATGGAGAAGAGATAGACCCACGGAAATCCCGTCTGTCTCTTTGTATAAAAAATAGCTTTAGACCGTTGCGGCACAGGACTTGTGAAAATCAATAGTTCTCTTTGCAGAAGTCCGCCGTGTACTTGAATTGTCGGATGACAATGCGTTATATTGACTTGCTGATGATGAAACTCAGACAGCCGGAGTGCAATTCGAGTAGAAATTCGCTGTCTGATCCGCGCATGATTGCAGATTTTTGACATCGAACCTTTCTTGTATTTATTGACGGGCGTTCCTTGCTGTACAGAGGCGGTTGGGTATCCTGACTGCAACAAGATAGCGGTCCGAGTCGAAAACACCGGAGCAGAGTCAAAACCACTGTCGACATGTTATGCGCCTATCACAGCATAATCGATCTGGTGGCGAATACTTCGATCCGGAGATGGCTTGACGAAATTTCTTTAAATTAAAACTAGCCCTAAAGACGACCATGTTTTGGGCATCAGCGGTATAGTGGCTGAAAAGGCATTCTGTCCCCGCTGAGTGTGGGTGGAAATCAGCGATATGTTGGAGAACTTTCTTAGGTTGTGGCGAGATGTTTATCCGCTGTGGTGAATATCAAGGCTCGGCTGCTGTCGAGTTTCTCCCACCATGAAATTCGAACCAAACTTGCATTGCCTGATATGTCTGCTGTATTATTGTATACGTCACCAAGATCTACTCCTCCTTGTCCCGTCCATCATAATTCTTGAACGATGATGATGTCTGCCTTAAGTCTTACGAAGTAATCATTAAGCTTGGCAACGATACTTTCCCAATTAAGACAACAGAAATTCCAAATCGCCGTCTCATCAGTTGTTACCATGTAGCAGGACTTGAACGTTGAGTGACTCAGTCCTAAGTAGCGCCTGTTGGCAAGAGTAATTCCGCATGGGATTTCCAGGCTGAAAATGCTGTTGGTATTAATACTGGTTCCAAGTTAGACAAATTTATCTACGCCTTCAAAGCTGTGACTGTCAACTGTGAGGTGCTCGTGAGCTGATAATTAAAGTGCATATTTTGGGCTCAATTAAACAGCAGGTCGCAAGCCCTTCAAAGCTGTCGTTTGCTCGCAAACCTCAACTCTTATATACAAATGGCAGTGGCTCCACTCAAGCTTGGGTTAGGTTGAGCTGGTTCACCTATTTAGACAAGACAAACAAGTGTTCAATATCTTGCCAGACACACTACATCACTGGCACGCGCATAAGTGTGGCTGTAGTTGGAAAAATGGCTGTAGTCGTTAGGATCCAAAGAAAGTCTTTGTCTGATGAGTGGCACACACACACATTACATGATTAACTCTCTCTACTCCTTCCTTACATTTCCTGAATTTTTTGTTCTCCACCAGTTTTAGCTTAAAAGCATCCGATGTCAAAAGAACTCCTCAGGAGTTCTACCATCGCTGGTTAAAAGTTCGTAAGTTTAGCATCATAAGTTTTGCCCATAATTTTAGCGATTCTGCAAACTTTAGCTCGTTCAAAAGTCTCTTCGCTTGGCGGAACAACATTTGTTCTTGCCTTTGCTTCACTACCCTGAACGAAGTTGTTCTTAAAGGACACCATTCTCAGCCAATACGTCTGCTCCATTAAAACTCCTTCCCTTTTAGTCATCATCCCAGGCTCATCACGAGCTGGTTATCGTATTTTTCATAAGCGTTGCTCATGTTTTCAGGGCCGAGCGCCAAGTGTAGGATTTGGGTATAGCCATGCAACTGTTAGTAAATACCATTACATACTTGTAGTGACTTAATTTAAGTTTGAAAATTTTTCATTTATACCGTATTTTTTTGTACGATGGAGCTGAGTGATAATTCGACTAAAATAAAAGGTAGTCAAATATCTCCCTTCTGCTTTTTTTGTCTTTTGAATTTCGCGGCTATGTACAAAGCGTTACAGAGCTTGTATCTGGCAACACTATACATAATTTGAAAGGTCTTGACATAACCTATAAAACAACGCTATGCACGATTAGTTTGAATATTGCGTTCAACAGTTATAGACGTGTAAACATGGAGTTCACTAACATCGAAATTCGCGCTATTTTAAAGTTTTCCTTCGTTAAAGGCAAATCCGCTGGAGAAACGTTCCGTGAGATTAATGGTGTTTTGGGGGAAGGTACTCTATCGCTTCGAACCGTGGAGGAATGGTCTCGACGATTCAGAGCCGGTGAAAACGACACCATGGATAAGCCACCCGGCGGAAGACCTGTGACGACAAATACCGATCAAATCATGGAATACATCGAGTTAGACCGGCATATGGCATCTCGTGACATCGTCCAGAAGATGAGAGTTAGTCACCAAACCATTTTGAACCATCTGCAGAAGGCTGGATACAAAAAAAAAGTTTGATGTTTGGGTGCCGCATAATTTGACGCAAAAAAACCTTCTGGACCGAATCAACGCCTGCGATATGCTGCTGAAACGGAACGAACTCGACCCATTCTCGAAGCGGATGGTGACTGGTGACGAAAAATGGATCACATACGACAATATCAAGCGAAAACGGTCGTGGTCGAAGGCCGGTGAATCGTCCCAAACAGTGGCCAAGCCGGGATTGACGGCCAGGAAGGTTTTGCTGTGTGTTTGGTGGGATTGGAAGGGAATTATCAACTATGAGTTGCTCCCATATGGTCAGACGCTTAATTTTACCATCTACTGCGAACAACTGGACCGCTTGAAGCAGGCGATCGACCAGAAGCGTCCAGAATTGGCCAAGAGGAAGGGTGTACTGTTCCACCAGGACAACGCCAGACCACACACTTCGTTGATGACTCGTCAGAAGCTACGGGAACTCGGATGGGAGGTCTTATCGCATCCACCATATAGCCCGGACGTAGCGCCAAGTGATTACCATCTGTTCCTGTCCATGGCGAATGCCCTTGGTGGTGTGAAGTTGAACTCAAAAGAGGCTTGTGAAAAGTGGCTGTCCGAATTCTCCGCAAATAAGGAGGGGGACTTCTACGAGGAAGGTATTATGAAGTTGCCGTCTAGATGTAAACAGATCATCGAACAAAACGGCGCATATTTTAACTAACACTTTTTATAAAGCATTGATTGAAAAGCGGAAGGGAGATATTTGACAGTCTTATATACAGTTTCTGTCTTTCAATATAGGCAAATTAAAATCACGTATTTAAGGAAAAAATGTCCTTTTGAAAGCAAGTTGAATTCCTTATATTTAATATTTTCTAAACAATTGGATGCCTTTTGACAATTCGGAAATGTCGAAAAATTAATAAGAAATGTAGATTTTTGGCAAAATTCAAACAAAAAAAACGTCTAGTTTCCTTTTAAGCACACACCTATAACACTTAAATAGTTTTAGCAAAATTTTCCTTGTATTTTCCTACTTGTCAGAATATCAGATTTGATTTTGTTCAAGTTCTAGTTTAAATAGCCATTTTACCTGTAAACGAGCACACCTACATACATTCATACGCCATTGTTGTCCCTTTATGTTTTTGAAATTGAGTTGGTTGCATATTTCGTTTAAAATAAAAGTGAATGTTATTAAAAGTGCCGTTAGCTAAACTGAAACGAACTTACTCAGCCTTTTCTATTCATTTTGTTGGTTGCTTACGCACGCATTAGAAATATTCTCCTTGCAGCAATTTGGAAGGTAGTTTTGGTTTCGAAACAAATACGAAATTTTAATAATGCACTTAATTTAGAATAAAGTAAAGATATAAATGTGTGCGAATTTTAGAAAAAAAAAAAAATTAAAACAAAATGTTTGAAAAGCGCAATAAGAGGACTGGCTCACTGTGCTTGAAAAAGCAAATTACTTTTGGTCTCAAGTTTGTAAGTACCGGAATGAGAAGAGTTGAGCTGTTTTAGTCATGCTCGTGTGACCGTCTGTTTATATTAGGTCAAGTAAAAAGTTCTTTCGGTTTTTGTCCAATTTAAATAAAATATGCGCAGTTTTTTTCGTAAACTTGCTGCCAACGAGATGTCAACTTCATTAAACCCCTCTTGTAGAAGGCTCAGAGAGCCAATTTTCACAGGCCTCTCTTGAGGCCAGCTTCTCACCATTAAGCGTTGCTCTTAACACAAAAATTTTCGCCATCACTTGGTGCATGGTCCAGACTATAAGGTGGCATAAGATCGTCTCGAAGCTTCTGGCGAGTCACTATTGTTGTGTGTGGTTTGCCGTTGTCCTGATGAAACACAATACCCCTCCTGTTGGTCATAGCTAGGCGGTCCAATTATTGTTGTTATTACAGGTTCAAATAGCCGAGTGGTTAACATTGCGTACTGCCACTCTGACGGCCATGGTTCCAGGCCTGTTTCAACCAAGAACCGAAGCTATAGGAAATTGATTTTTTTAATTGAGTTCGCTCCTCAGCAGGGAATGTCAAGCCCTCCGAGTGTGTGTTTCTGGCATGAAAAAAAATGTCACTCATAAAACTCCATCGGTCCTTCGGAGGCGGCTCAGCTAGAACGATTATTACAAATTGGAAGAGGAGCTCGGCTGTAAATCTCCTCAGCGGTTACCAATCGCCAATTATAATACAGATGTGAGCCTGAGCAGCTCACAGAGGATGATTTTTTGCCAATTCAGCCAAACACAGAACAAAACCTTCTTGGACGTCAATTCTGATTTAGGGACCGTTGGTGCACTTCGCTCACGATCTTTTTCATTTGAGTTTGCTGTAAATGATCTCCTTTCATCACCAGTTACCATCCGTTTCATATTCGTCGATGGAAGTTCTCGTTAACTGAAGTGATACCCAAACATTGATCTTCTATGTGTAGCTAACCTTTTGCAAATGGTTTCAAATTACTTTTTTTTATAAATTATTGCGTGCGATCAGATAGAGGAATTAATATTTAATCTTAACATAAAATACCATACATTTGATATGATCATAAAAGTTATAAAGATTTAGTATTATTCCATAAGCTCTGTGAAAAGCTTTTAAAGCTTCTGATCAAACACTTTTCAATACTCTCACTGCTGTAATTTTTTTTTAGAGTTAAATATGACTCACACCAAGTATTTCCTGGGCAGTCAAGGCATTAAAAATTTATTGTGAAATAAGTCACATAGAATCTTCATCAAATAAATAAATAACTTTTCTCAAATCATCTTGCACCACACAAGATTCCAGTTCAAAGTCAATATTTATGTCTGTCTAATATTTGAATAAATATGTAATGTAAGCAAGCGTCGAGATGTCAAAAAGGTTTTGTTATTTATTTATTAATTTTTTTTTGAGAAACGCAAAATATTCCCACGGGTAAAGTCGCGTCTGCCTTCACTTAATTGAGCGATGACCTTTGCAAACTTAAAGGTAGAAATATTTACCGCTGCATCAAAAAATTAAACCCAAAATTTACACTACAAATGCAACTACTTACAGGGTGGTTGAAATTATTTAATATTTCTTATAACATTTTTCAAATATTTTGGAAGCGTATTGTCTTTGTCAACAGTGTTGTTAATGAAGCTAGCAGTACTTATTTACAGAATGTTAGCAAAGCTTCCCATATTCTTTTCGGCATGCCATTGAGAGAGCTAAAACTACTTGTTTAATAATAAGTGAAACTCTTTGTGTGCTCAATACTTCCAAACCAATCTCTGTCAGTTTTTGCCTGGTTATGAAGAATGTAAGTGGTTTGGCGCTTCATGATGATACACAACACCTTTTCTATTGATCTCTTCTGGACGAATTTTTTCGAAAAGATTTTCTTAACAGTTTGTAAAGTTTTGACGGTGAAACTGATTGTTGTAACAGTTCACAATGTTTAATGCACTTCAAATGCCACCATACAACATAATCTTCGTCAATTCTGGTTGTGAAGTTTTCGCCAGTCTTAGATCATGTTTTTGTTAGTTACACATTCACGTTATTAAAATATTTTTCTTAGCACTTGGTGAGTTGTTTCAGAACTGTTTCGAATTTGTCGCGTTTCATTGATGCTACTTTTCTTAATCAGTTAATTTATGTGGCACCTAAACCTCAAGCTTCCTTAAATATTCAGCCTTTGTTAATTTATTCCAAAATATCAGTAGAGTGACATTAAATGCCGGCACTATCATTTTACAGCTTGTATGCTCCGATAATTGCAGAATTTCATTGACTCTTTGAGTATCCGTGTGACCAAAACGAGGTGACAAAGATATCAAAATATTGCAGAAGGCAAAGGTTGAACTGGCTGACCCATCGTTCTTTTGAATAGATGATAATTACGTGAAAAGGGCTGCCAGTTAGGCTACATATGACTAAGCTACACTGCTACACTCTTTATTGTGTTTCTAGTATGAAGAACATTGAAATTTTCCTTTCAGCTTTTAAATTATACTGAGTTCTATTAAGACACCCTATATAAATTTTATTCATTACCAAATCATCAAATCTAATTACATTTGTCTGCGAACTTTCTCTCAGCGAAATCTCTCACAATTCAAATAAAGGTAAGTTTACAACTGTGGGCGCACAGAGTAGAGAAAGCTCAACCTTCAACGGCAAAGTTTCTAAAGTACAGAAATTTGTTCGTTTGCAGGTTGGTGAAATAGTTTCAAAATGAATTTACTCAATGCAATAACGATGAGATATCACCTTTTACCGCTTACCGTGATTACTAGTAACTGTATACATTCGACTGCAGGCATTTGTGCTTTATCATTCTGGATTTCAACGAATTTCCTGAAACTTAAAATAAACTTAAATTCCCTCCTACTTTCTCATTCACTAGTATCCAGTTGGAGGGCTGTGATTTCGTTGAGCGAATGCTCATTAATCATCTTGGCAACGAAATCGTTCACTCAGCAATCATTTTGTGTCATCATAAGCAGTCTCAAATATTCGGCGTCATCAAATTGAAGTTGAATTTAAATTTTGTTATTTTATTGCTTGACTTTTGATTTTCGGCTTAATTTTCCTGCGTTTTGTTGCCGCTGGGTATCTTTACTCAGCTCCATAGTTCAACAATTCCTTCACCTTTTCGCAGCAACTTTATTTGATTTTCAAAATCTTCTCCATGTTCTTTCTTATATGTATTTATACGTAAGTTTTTCAGTTTGTCCTTTCGCATAGCTTTCGCTGTATTTATAAAATTAAAGCGAACATTTTTTCCACTTTCTTTGTCTTACCTACCGAACTTAAAGTATTGTTGAATTAAAGTGCTGCTGTACTTTATTTTATATCTTCTCTTAGCGGATCAATTTATTGAATTTTTCAACCCGGATCACCGCAAAGTGTTGGAAGAACAGGATAAGGAAATACGAAAACGTACCGGTCTGAAAGGAGCAGCGCCGGGTGGCGATGAGTGGATTTACCTGAATACCTACTGTCGTGTGCCGGTGAGTGAGTTTGCCAACAGTAGAAAATGAAGGAATATTTCAAAGCATAAAGATATTTGGTTTAAAACATAAATAATTTAAAAGCAGGATTGAAAGCTTAAATATAGCAAACTAATTTTACTTTTTTATTTTTAGGAAAAAATCATCACTGGCTTCTGTAAAGGCACCCAAGATTACTGTCCGGCTGCGCCGCAAGGCCCTCCAGGGCCAGAGGGCCCCAAAGGTCCGACTGGACCACCCGGTTTGCCTGGTATACCTGGACCTAAGGGGAATCGTGGCGATGTTGGCTTGCCCGGACCCCGCGGTGTGGACGGCGCAAATGGTCCTGTGGGTCCACGCGGTCCAAAGGGTGATATTGGCATACCCGGTCGTGGTGGTCTCGATGGTCGCGATGGTGTACCCGGAGAACCTGGTCTAGATGGTGTACCCGGACGTGCAGGTGCTGATGGTATACCGGGTAAGGATGGTCTGCCCGGTTTGGATGGTCGTGATGGTCTCAACGGCAAAGATGGTAAAGATGGTGCGCCGGGGCCAAAAGGTGCACAAGGACCGCCGGGTGAGCGTGGACTGAAAGGTATGTAAACTTAAGTAAACAAAACAAAGTAAATTTAATAAAATAAAATAGAATTAGATACTTAAATTAAAGAAATAAAATAAAATAAAATAAAATAAAATTAAAAAAAATAAAATAAAATAAAATAAAATAAAATAAAATAAAATAAAATAAAATAAAATAAAATAAAATAAAATAAAATAAAATAAAATAAAATAANGAAATGAAATGAAATGAAATGAAATGAAATGAAATGAAATGAAATGAAATGAAATGAAATGAAATGAAATGAAATGAAATGAAATGAAATGAAATGAAATGAAATGAAATGAAATGAAATGAAATGAAATGAAATGAAATGAAATGAAATGAAATGAAATGAAATGAAATGAAATGAAATGAAATGAAATGAAATGAAATGAAATGAAATGAAATGAAATGAAATGAAATGAAATGAAATGAAATGAAATGAAATGAAATGAAATGAAATGAAATGAAATGAAATGAAATGAAATGAAATGAAATGAAATGAAATGAAATGAAATGAAATGAAATGAAATGAAATGAAATGAAATGAAATGAAATGAAATGAAATGAAATGAAATGAAATGAAATGAAATGAAATGAAATGAAATGAAATGAAATGAAATGAAATGAAATGAAATGAAATGAAATGAAATGAAATGAAATGAAATGAAATGAAATGAAATGAAATGAAATGAAATGAAATGAAATGAAATGAAATGAAATGAAATGAAATGAAATGAAATGAAATGAAATGAAATGAAATGAAATGAAATGAAATGAAATGAAATGAAATGAAATGAAATGAAATGAAATGAAATGAAATGAAATGAAATGAAATGAAATGAAATGAAATGAAATGAAATGAAATGAAATGAAATGAAATGAAATGAAATGAAATGAAATGAAATGAAATGAAATGAAATGAAATGAAATGAAATGAAATGAAATGAAATGAAATGAAATGAAATGAAATGAAATGAAATGAAATGAAATGAAATGAAATGAAATGAAATGAAATGAAATGAAATGAAATGAAATGAAATGAAATGAAATGAAATGAAATGAAATGAAATGAAATGAAATGAAATGAAATGAAATGAAATGAAATGAAATGAAATGAAATGAAATGAAATGAAATGAAATGAAATGAAATGAAATGAAATGAAATGAAATGAAATGAAATGAAATGAAATGAAATGAAATGAAATGAAATGAAATGAAATGAAATGAAATGAAATGAAATGAAATGAAATGAAATGAAATGAAATGAAATGAAATGAAATGAAATGAAATGAAATGAAATGAAATGAAATGAAATGAAATGAAATGAAATGAAATGAAATGAAATGAAATGAAATGAAATGAAATGAAATGAAATGAAATGAAATGAAATGAAATGAAATGAAATGAAATGAAATGAAATGAAATGAAATGAAATGAAATGAAATGAAATGAAATGAAATGAAATGAAATGAAATGAAATGAAATGAAATGAAATGAAATGAAATGAAATGAAATGAAATGAAATGAAATGAAATGAAATGAAATGAAATGAAATGAAATGAAATGAAATGAAATGAAATGAAATGAAATGAAATGAAATGAAATGAAATGAAATGAAATGAAATGAAATGAAATGAAATGAAATGAAATGAAATGAAATGAAATGAAATGAAATGAAATGAAATGAAATGAAATGAAATGAAATGAAATGAAATGAAATGAAATGAAATGAAATGAAATGAAATGAAGTGAAATGAAATGGAACGAAATGAAATAAAAGAAAATGAAATGAAACGAAATGAAACAAAATGAAAGAAAATGAAATGAAATGAAATGGAACGAAATGAAATGAAAGAAAATGAAATGAAACGAAATGAAACAAAATGAAAGGAAATGAAATGAAATGAAATAAGTAAAGTAAAGCAAAATAATAATCTAATTTAATCTGAAATAAATTATAATAAAATAAATTATAAAATAAAATTTCAAAAAACATGGATCACGTCTATAGAGTTCTGGTTTTATACATATAGTTTATGATTTCAAATTAAATTTTTAAATATTTAATCTTCGTACATTTGTTATTCAACCAGTGAAATTGATTTCATTCTAACAGAAAAATTGTTAGGAAAGTATTATATGGAATGAGTGGATTTCCAACACTAATCTAAGTAAATGTTTAATGCAGTGGCCATAGAAATTCATGCAGTAACATTCCAATTCTACATATTTTTCACACACCATTCCTTTTAATTTTGCCTCGAATCTGAAATTTTCACCTTCAAAATATTTTTTCATTTGCATTTGAGATTTCCATTTGCCTTTGCTTATCGTCATGGCGCAGTGACTGCATGTAGAAACAATAACAAAATCAGCTACTACATATTTTACAAGCATGCTAACGAGGTGAACCCACTTGGAAGTTGTTGAAAGTTGTAAAACTTTGAGAGTAGCTGATTACATATATACGTAGGTACTACTTGTGAAAAGCGGAATGAAATAGTATTATTACCTCACACCTCCCTTTCTACATTCAATCACATTCGTATAACTCCTACTTTTTCAGCGGCGAAAATTACTTTTCTGTTGTATTCTGAGATTTATGGTAGGGTGTGTTGCATAGTTTTAGGGGCCACTAAATGAGTATTTGCATTCACCGCTTCCTTATGGCGTGTGCTAATGTACTTTCCGCTTTTCCTGATTTTCCTGATTTCGCTGTGATTTGTGTGTTTCTTATTTTGGCTTATAGCATATTTCACCAAACCAAGTTTCTTTCCGCTCAAGAGTTCTTGTTACGCATATTTCAATGTACGTGTATGTGTGAGTACATTGTGTTTTCGCTTATTGTTCTTTACTTTGCTTTTGCTTCTTTTTGATTTTGTTTTTGTTTGTTTTCTCTATGCATTTTGGTTTTCTTATTTTTCTTTACTCTTTTTTCTGGCAGTTTCTGTTTGTGTTTGTGTTGGCATTTTGTTTGTTTATTGTTTTGCAATTTCCTTGTTCTTTCGCCTGCATCGGTGATTCAGTTGTACGGAGGAAAAGTTTTGTGAACGTGGCCGAAAGTTACTTAAGGCGTAAGCAAGTGTTGATTCACAGTTACCAATGGCCAAAATAAGCTTTTCAAATTCAGGAGAAGTAGAGTGTAAGGAAAAAAGTAATTTTATATTGATGAAAGAGTTACTTGCAGGCATCTTTTTCTGCATAAATTTTACAATACCCAAAATGTTCATTAAGGAGTTTGTACCAAAGCCTCGTAGCTCTTAAAGAATTTTTTTTTTTGGAAATTAACTTAAAATATAAGCAAAAAATGAGCTGTAGTTGTGAAATTTAAAGTAGAGGGATGGAAAATTGAAACGTAAAATTATATTTAAGAGTGTTGCCTACATTTAGGCTCGCGGTAAAAAAGTTTCGAATATACGTGAGTACCTCAAAATCATTAATTTAGCGCATGCTGTTGGCTTCTGCCTTTGGTTGAATGGGCAGAACTCACTTAGTTTGTTTACTTTAGACAATATTCTGAAAAAAACGTAATGTATCGCGGCTTTGTAATTCTACAGGCGGTTAAATTCTATTCAGCTGTTCAAATTTCACTGCTATTCGGTAGACTGGAGCAGTGTTCCCTCCACAAATTCTTTATACTCTGAGTGTCGATCAGCCTTAACCCATTTGAATATGGTCATGGGCCCTGAACTTTTTTACCCGTTGTGCTAAAGATGTATTCTTTGGCCATCGTGGCGTGGTGTGATCGCCAGAATTTGGCGACAGGGTCTCTCTCTCACAAATAACTCGACACCAAATTTGCGCTCTTTTATACGGCCGCTGTAGTAAATGCCACTAGGTCCTACTCGATTCCATCCTTGTCTCGTCCATGGCACTTATTGGGCGGCGTTGATTTCACCTTCTAGTCTTACGAGCACCAGCTTGGGATCGGACATTCCAGGTGCATCCTCATAGATAATAGTCCTTAGGGCGCGCTCTCTAATCCGAGGTATTTTTGCTTTCTTTTCCATTGGAGCTGCGGTCTATGTGACGGGTTCAGTGCACAATTCTTGCAATTTACCGTTTAGGAAAGAAACAATAATCGCTTAGGCGTTTACCAATAAGAAGGAAAGTACGCACTACTACTGGTTACTTTAGATTTAACTTAACTTTGAAAAAATTTTAACATAATAATGGGATTTTTTTGAGCTAGGAAACGAGGGCATTCTTTGGTTTATTTTTTAAAAATGCTTTTAATTTTTTATCAACAAAATAAATATAAAATTTTAAAATTTTTGCTTAATTCCAGGTATCGCTGGACCACGTGGCAGACCAGGTAAATCGGGAAAAGATGGTGTACCCGGCATACCAGGCATCAATGCATGGAAGGTGCAACTGACAAACGGCAGTTTCTCCAATGATCTGCTCATACCTCCATCAATTGCGGGTAAATTATAGAGATACACATCTTATAAAAACCTAGATTTAGCAACATATATATTAGTATATGTATGTATAAGCTTTTCTAAAATTTTTTAATTATTGCATATGTAAGTGCTTTTTTATTCAAAAAAAAAAAAATCCAATCCAATTTATTTCTCATCATTTTCTCATTTTAAATAAATACGTGAAATATATATGCATACCGTTTCATGGTTAACTTCTCAAAAGCTCAAATTACTTAATAAAGATTTGCTCTAAATTCCACGCCACCACACAAAATATCTCTTCTCACCATCAATACAATTACATAAAACATAATACAAATAACTACTTTGTTTAGCCTAAATTAATAATTAATTATAATCGTAGCAATTCTCCTACTCAATTACAAAACATAATAGCAGTGATGCTGTAAAATGATCCATTATTAATTATATGCTTAAACAACTTTCACTTTGTACCTAATAAGCTTAAAGCTTTCCCTTCAACGCACAACAATTAAAACTGCCTTTTGTGCGAGTGAATAGGAGAAGGCTATAATTATTGATTTTCAAATTTAATTTTACGAATTAACTAAACGTCAAAATCTGCGACATTAATAAACCAATAATACACATACACATATATATGCATAAGTAAAGGGTTATCTTTTTTGTGGTTTCGAAACTACACGTAAATGAAATGCATTTAAAAAATTTGTTTTTTATGAAAATTCTTTACTGTTAAATCGTTTGAGCTTTGGCATTATAAAGGTTTTTCCAATAAGTAGTGTTCTGTTGATTAGCCTGCTATTCCGTTAGATTTCACTTTTTAAGCTGTAATTCTTTTACCGTTTGACAAGTAAATATCACGACAGTAGTAAAAATTGAACGATAAACGCTTCAACGTTGCATTGAAATTATTGAAATTCACTGTAAAAATTTTCCCTGCGTTGGCTAACTCAATAAGTAAAGCTATCAACGCATTTGAGTCTCGGAAAGCACAAGATTTACTATTGAAAAGCTTCTCCATCTGCAACGTGTTACTGTTTGGTGCGGTTGAAGAACCGTCGTTGACATTGGGCCTTACTTTTTGGAAAATTAATGAATTGCGCTATCGAGAGAGGGTTAATGACTTTAATGACCGGAATTGGTTGGCGTTGATATGGAAGCGTTAACTTTCAACAAGACGACGCTGCGCTACGTGTCACATAAGTAACAAAACCATCGAACTTTTGAGAGAAAAATTTTTATGAATCTCAAAACAATATCTTTCATTGGAAAGCTCTTTATGTGAGACACGAAATCATTCAAAGGACCGTCTCGCCACTTTTTGGAAATTTCGCTGCATTCGAGGTAATATTTCACACATATTGGGCGGTATTTCAGCCTTAGCTTGGTTAATTTTGGTTTTTAAGTGCACAAGAGCTCAATGTTTATCCTCACGAACTGATCGCGGTGACCAATTGACAACATTAAGGCGAGAGATTACCCGTTGGGAAGACTTCTGCCACAATAAAGCTATATTCACTCGTGTTGTATGGCTTGTGGCACCATTTTGCTTAAACCTCATATTGTCCAAATCCTGACCTTAAATTGCTGATCAAAAACCGTCGATTATCATACGATCATAACGATCATAACGCTCCCAATTGACAGTGCCAGTCTCGCTGTTGTTGGTTTTAAAGTAGCTAGGTGGAAACAAACCTCTGGACCTGATAGTAAGATTATTCTTTTGACGTAATGTCCTCTCATCAATCACTAGATGAAGAAAATTTGTTCGAAATATCGCCGTCTACGTTTGGATCATCATACTTGTAATGGATTTTAACAGTGTTTTTTTGCGTTGTGCTATTCAGAAGCACTTAATTTTTATGAATTCCCCACACGTAATCAAAACAAAACAAATTTTGTTTGAGAGCTGAATTTGACGTATTGCATATCAACATACATTGCACTGTACTTTTGAATTCACAAAATGGCTACCCCTATATAAGTATACAAGTAGGCTTTTCTATTTTTTGCGATTTTCATTCAGCTTTAAAACCACCACCTTTTCTTATCTACAGATTTGAATGCGCCAAACATTGAACGCTTTATTATCGTTGAAGAGGGCAAGACATTGAATCTGAGCTGTGCTGCTAGTGGTAATCCGATGCCGCACGTTGAATGGCGACGCGATGATGGACGTACAATTAATATTAATGGCATTGAGAGTGAGTATAAGAGCCGAGGCAATTCTACGCTGATGAGCATTAAATAGGCGTATATATGTACATACAAATATATGTATATATAGGCATTGCTACTCTGGTGGTGTTGCGACTCCTAAAAGCCTACTATAATGAGTGGATTTCCACGAAATTACTGTTTGCCGGAAGCAATTGAGAGTTTATTTTTGGATAATGATTTCCGATTTTAGCTGTGGCCACTTTATAATTGACTTTTCCAAAATTAATTTTATATATATATATAATTTACTACCTTAATATGGTATATAAAGCTGTTAAATTTCTTGCTCATTGCTTTTCAGTGTCGTCGGTAAGTGGGCCTTATTTGAAATTCACGAACATAACACGACATCAGATGGCTGCGTATACCTGTTATGCGGATAACGGCTTGGCGCCCGTTGCGAATGCTACATTCCTCATACAAGTGCACTGTAAGTAAGCAAAAAAAAAAAAAAAAAAAAAAAATAATGGGAAATGTGTAAAATTAAATTTGAATTTACATATTTTTTTAAATATTTCGTTTTCATTTCTCTCATAATAGTTTTTACAAAATTGACTATGAAAAAGTTAAGCCCAAAACATATGCTTCAAAAATAACGGAAATAAGAGCTTTTAAGTAGCTTAAATAGCCATTCAGTATTTCAGCGATTCTAGTTCTTAAATGCATGAATTGTAAATTGCGCATAAAAAAGTTACAAAGTTAAAAAAAAAATAGGATTTGACAACCAGCTGCCGTCGAAAGCGTATTTAAAATCATAAATTAATTAATTTAAGTTAATAAGGCACTTTTTATGCTATAAAATTGTATTGTAAGCATATAAAGAGTGTTTTTAACGGCATTTTTTTTTTAAATTCAAGCACTTTGTTTTTGTGAGCAGCGCAATTTTTGCCATTGCAAAGAAAGACACATTAGGGTGGTCCAATGTTATTTTTTTTATAGATTAACGTTTATTTAGAGCTTTTGTTTTTTTATGAAATGAAAGCACTTATGGTAAATTTAAGTTTTTTTTTGTAAATATTGTGATTTGCATACATATATATAGTATTGAACTCTTCATTAACCTCAAAATATTTAATTTGCCTTTACGTTATCTACAGTTTTCATTAATTTTTCTGACAAAACAAGTACTAAAAGTGCATTGAATGCAAAAGTAATGTCAAATTTCAACTTTCAGCATAAATTTTGGCAGATATTTATATTTTATTGACCTAAAAGTTTTAATTTGGTTATTAAAATGACCTAACCTAAAAGTTTTTTTTAATTTATTTGTTGGTTTTCAATTTAAAATTATATTAATTAATTTAAAATTTAAAATTTATTAATACTTTAATTATAATAATAATAAAAATTACATATGTATATATAATTGGAACCTCGGCATATTCGACGTGGGACATAAAAAAGCGCACCCTTATATAAATGCTTACAAAACTGAAATTGAAAAAAAAAAATAATTTCATTAACAGCACAAAACCATAAATTTTTATTAAAAAAAATACAGCAATAAAATGCAGTGAACAGCAATGCAACAAAAAGAAAAAAACAAAAGAAAAATTTCCAATTTTCATGCAATTCGCTTTTTGCCATAAATTTCAACATAAATACTTCTCACATTTTTCATATTTTCCATTATATTGTGTTACATTTAACATAAAATAAAATAAAAGTAAGAGAATATAACGAAAAAATGTATGTGCAGTTTACTAAAATAGAAAATTTTCTCCATTACTTTGCACTTTCAGTTTCGCCAATGATTGCTGTGTACCGTCAAATGATTTATGCAGAGTATGGACAAAGTGCAACGCTAGAATGCATGGTGAGTAAGAGAGAAAATATATCGAAATAAATTGTAGAAAATAAATATTTACCTTCCGATATATATATATGTGTGTAGCAGTAAATATGGGAAAGTAATAAATATAAAGAAAATAAGAATTTAAGAACAAAGTGCAAAATATTTAACGTACCCACTAAGCAAAAAAAAAGCCAAAATAACAATAATGGTAATAATGAAAAAAAAATGTATGTTTGTATGTAAATATATTTAAAAAAAAATAATAATAATAACGCTGAGCTCTGAATTTAGCATTTGCTTCATACATAGCAGAGCGTATAACATTTAATACGAATTTCTATTGCCTCTAACTTAGTTTAAAAAATTTTTGTTTTAATTTTATTTTAATATTTTTATGTATTAAAATTTATTCATATTTTTATACGAATTTATTTCTATTTTTCTTTTTTTTTGTTTTTGCTATGTAACTAATCTGTTCCTTGCACAATTAGTAGGAAACTCCATTAATAATAATAGTAATAAGTTTTTTTTTTCAAATTAAAAGAAAAACACATTTAAATTATTACACAAATTGTACTGTCTGATTTAATATCAGACAAATAAAAAATTTTTTTATATTGTTTTAATACATTTTTTTCTATGTAATCCCAACGAGATTACATAATTTGCCTTCAATTTGTATTACACATAAATTGTACTAATTAATATATAAGTTTTAATTTTAAAAATTAAATATATTACGAAAAAAGTGCGTGTGCACTCCACAGTCAATATTCACTTTAATTCCACGTAATCTACGTGGCGTATGAGTAACAACTAATAATATGAGCACATAATACATGCACATATAATATATTGTAATACGATATACATACATTCGAGCATATTACATTGAATAAATAATTATAAATATGTTTGTAGTTGAAATTGCATACACAACAACTACAATAAATTGTATAAATAGTTTAACTATTCCCTCTCCATTATTTACCTTAAAACTAATCAATGTTTTTGAATCTATGCATACATATTTACGCTTAAATTACCAACCAATTTCGCTCTATTGGTTTTAGCTCAACGCTAATTTCAAGCGTACACATACATATATATGTTTGTATATATGCATGCGTGTAAATACGAAATTCGATTGGCTTCGCCACATTAATGTGCGATCAGCTCATTCATTCATTCATTTAGCTTGTGCAAATATCGATTGTTATTTGATTAGTTTTTGGCGCCAGTTGCGGTGCTATTATGATCATTATAAAATAACTGTGGTACATTTCGAATGCATACATACTATTTTGGTGCGTGTGTGTGGGTTGTTGGTTGTAGTTTATAGCTTTTGCATATTTAATTCACTGGTTTTGTTTTTCATAGAAATACTTGCTGTGAATATAATAAGTGTATGTATGTGTGTGTTTTGCTATTTAAATAAAAACGCCTATTTTTTTTTGAATTTGCGGTAGTAATTTCATTTTAATGGATTTTCAATTAGTCTCTCTATGTCTGTATGTCGAAAAAATGATATTTATATATAAACGATTATATTTAGATTTAAATGTAAATTTCAACTGAATATCATATTATAGAACTACAAAGCAATTTTTTTTGTTATCAATAATAAATTAAAATCAAATTAGGCTTAGTCATAAAGTTTGTAAAAATGCTGTTAGAATTGAGCTTTCAATGTTTCTATTAAATTTTATTTTGTTTCATTTGCTTAAGTTTTTTTTTATTTCATTTTATCATATCTCATTTCTTTCCCTTTTATTTTGTTTCATTTTACTTTAAGTTATTTTGTTTTATTTATTTGAATTTACTAAATTCATTTATGTTATTTTATTTTGTTTAATTTTAGCTGATTTTATTTTATGTAAATTAATTTACTTTAACTGGCTAAATTTAGTCAAAGTGAATTAAATTTATTTTAAACTAAATTCATAATATTTAATTAATTTATTTTTGTTATATCGTTATGCCCAAAAATCTTTGCTTATCGGAGAAATACGACAGGTTGTGGGTTGATCCGTCGGTCATTCAGGAAAAGGCTTTTCATATATATAGATTTCATTTTATTTAATTTGAGTTTTTAATTCAATTCAGTTTTACTCTTTTGTTTGATTTTGTTTAGTTTAATTCAGTTTATTTTTAATTTAATTTTACTTCTTTTATAAGTTTTTAGTTTTTTTACCTTGTTTTATTTTACTTTATTTTATGCTATTTTTATTTAATTTATTTTATTTTAATTTTATTTTATTTTATTTTATTTTATTTTATTTTATTTTATTTTATTTTATTTTATTTTATTTTATTTTATTTTATTTTATTTTATTTTATTTTATTTCATTTTATTTAATTTGAGTTTTTAATTTAATTCAGTTTCACTTTTTTGTTTGATTTTATTTATTTTAATTCAATTTATTTTGAATTTAATTTTACTTCTCTTATAAGTTTTTAGTGAGCTAAAAGTTGGTCACAACAACAAAATATTCAATTTATATAAATGGGTCGGACCTTTAGCTCACTAAAAACTGATAAAAAATGTTAAATTATTTTCTTTTGTTTTATATCATTAATCGTGTTTTATTTTATTTCATTTTATATTCGATTATCATAATTTATTTTGCTTTTTATTTTTATTTTATTTATTTTAATTTTCTTTTATTATGATTCTAAACTATGTGTTTTTATTTTTTTTTATTTTATTGGGATTTTCGTTATTTTATTTTTTATGTGTTTAATTTTATGTCGTAATTTTTTATTTTTTGCTTAATTTATTTTTTTAATATATAATATATAATGATAAAAAACTTAATTGTTATTTTATTTTTATTTTGTTTTATTTTATATTGTTGTACTTTATTTTAATATATATTTATTATTTTATATTATTTTATTACATTTTCTGTTAATTTGCTTAATTTTGTATTTATATTTTATTTTATTTTTATTTTCTAATAATTTATATAAATTTGTTATATCCTTTTATTTTATTTTATTTAGTTAATTTTATTTTAATTTCATTTAGTTTTTATTTTTATTTTCTTTTGTTTTACTTTATTTTATTTTGCTTTGTTTTATTTAGTTACATTTTTTTTTATTTTCTTTTTGTATTATCTATTTGGTTTACTTTAATATAATAAAAATTTATTTTATTCAACTTTATTTTTTGCTACTCTTATATATTTTATTTTAATTTTATTAATTTATTTAATTTTATTTTTTTATTTATTAGGTGTACAACTTTACTTCCGCCGTTTTTTACCAAAATTAAAAGCTTTATTGCGAAAAAGTGCTTAAAGATATTTTATATTATTCAAAGTATTGTCCTTCGCTAGCGACAACTTTCTCCCATCTTTCCGGCAATTTTCGGATACCGGCTCGAAAAAAGGAGTCCTCTTTTGACGCTATCCATGAAGCCGTCCATTTTTTCAATTCCTCGAATCTTGAAGGATTGAAAATGTTGCAAAGCCACCTATCGGAAAACGGCGGATGCAAAGTTGTACACTTGATAATATATTTTATTTAATTTTTTTTTATTTTATTGTATTTTATATTATTTATAATATTCTTTTATTAAGTTTAAATTTATGTCATTCTAAGTTATTTTATTTTATCTTATAGTAAATTTTTTATTTCAATTAACATAATTTAATTTTATTCCGTTTAATTCTGTTATAATTAACACGAGCTGCTCGTAGAAAAAAATGTACACAAGTCTTAGTCTAACCCATTTTTTTCTAATCAATTATCAATAAATTGCCGAAGTTGTCATTAGCACGTTGTGCGCTCAGCTAATCTTATTGAAAAAAGAAATTGGTTGAGAATTCTTATAATTGCTTCGCAGCATCATCAGAAGTGTAAAAATTCAGACAAAAAAAAAAATATTCTAAGCCTTGCTAAGTGATGCAACCGATTTGCTGGCACGTTTAACACAGGAAAGGTTAATAGCTCTAATGACAGCATCGACAACAACAACGACTGCAGGAATTAAAGAGAAACATAAACAATGGAATTGACAAGTTGAGCATGCACAAAAAGAGTACAAAGGAGTTTTAAAATAGAGACAAGCATGGAGAAGTAAGGCATGAATAGAATTTTCCAGCTCTTCAATAAGGTGAACAAAAGGGTGAAACGTTAGATGAGAGATGAGAAAATATCGAACTCCTCGTTACTCGAAACTTTTCTTTATTTGCTAAGGAGTCACCCATTAGCTCGAGAAGGTCTGCGCGTGGTTAAAAGGCATGTACTTCCAGTCAGCACACCTGATAGAAATTTAATTAATCGTGACAAGGCGAAAAATGCCTTTTTGCTACCATTTTTTTTAATGTTTTATTGTCATATCATTGTCACAAGCATTACATAGAACACCCACAACTTACCTGTTTTACCAACGCCTACATCTCGGCGAAGACAGACAACAAGAGGGCTTTCATTATTTTATGTCTCTGCAGTTTTAAGCTACAGTCACATTGTGTATGATTGTCGGTGAATGCGTGTAGTATGCTACGGCGCTTAACTAAAGCTTTCTGCGGACCTACGTTGTACACTTGTGGGCGTCTGTTGTACGTCCCTTAAGAGAGTTGTTTTTTTCCTTCATAGTAGACAGTGTCTTTTTTGCTTCTACAGTCTGCGTCTGTCTCATTCTTTCGTTGTCGTGTCACAGTTGTTATGTCTGTATGCAGTGATGTCTTAATGTCTGCAGTTGGTTGTTGGTTGTGGTACTCACTGGTGACACATAAGCCTGCATTGCAGTGAGGTTTACATTTATTACAAGGAATAAAATTAATTGTGCAGTGAAGGAGTGACTTGGAATTCATCTTATGTTTTATTTAACATCAACCTTTCAAGTAATCGTTAAAACGGTAAATGATGCTGATGTATATTTGAGGCAGGTGTTCTTTTGTTGCTGCAAATGGAAATTCCTAATTAGTTACATCTCACGTGGAAAGGCTGCTTTCTTATGAATGGCTGATTTGGCGAATTTAAAATGAATCGAAAGTCACATATATGGAGATTTATTTATATAAAGAATTTTACTTTAACATAAGGTCAGAGGCAGCGAATTGTAGAGAGTAAAATTGGCAACGTTGCTGGGCGAAATTTTTGCTTTCTATATTTCAAAATTCTTCAATTATTCAAATTTGCAATGATTATTTTTAAAAATCAATTCAAAATTGTATAAAAATGCTTTAAGTATCATAAGTAAATTTTCAAATGCCTAAATCTCTCAAGATACGCTTGAGTGCTCAAAAATCTAATAAAATTAAATGAAGAAAGCTGTTTAAATTTTAGATAAGAGCATCAGCAGGCCAATTTTTCGGAAATGTTTGCGGGCCATCCGAAAATATTGGCTACCCACATGAAAATTGGCAGTATTGTAATACACAATACTAGTTCGGCCGCTTGATATCGAGAAAGGAAAAGTTGTCAAGGGTAATTCGGCAATATTTTTTTTAAAAATAACAGTCTTAAGTTTGGAAACATTATGATAAATTTTTTTTTTAGACACAATTTTAATAGTCAGTATGAGGTATGTTGATTTGGAACTTTAAAGAGAGAAGACAACTTAGCAACAATGCATAACCAACAACAAAGCTTTTGCTGACGGAAATAAAACTCAAAAGAACACTTCGAAAAGTCATTGTTACTCTGCAATATATAAAATGATTTCTTCAAGAGTTCGCCTTAAATAATAAATCAATTATGTATAAATCTTCTAAAGAAAGTTCGGCAACTATTCGTAAAATCAATATTAAAAAAAAATAGTTTTGCATTTCAAAACTTCGAAAAAAATCTTTTGGAAAATAGGCAACATTGCTTTTAGCAACCCTTTGGTATGCTGTCACTGCAACCTGGTTCACTTGTAGTTTATTTATGTAAGGAAATTTGATAATTTTCTGGTTTTATTAATTATCATAAATGTCTTCGTGATTTAAAAAATCGGAAAAATTTTCTGTGAAAATTGGCAACCATGCTTTGAGAAACTGCTGTTAGGCTATCCAAGCAAAAAATGAACTTAAAAACTTCTGGTGTTTGCCTGAATTAAATTTAATACCAATTATTTCATAAAAGTGTTTTATTTGAAATTCAATAATTTAATTACTTTAAAATACTACTTATTAGTATTCGCAAATAAACATTTAATTTTTTTTTGTTTTTTTTTTTTTTTAGGTGGAAGCCTTTCCCGAAGCGATCAAATACTGGGAGCGTGCCTACGATGGCAAAACTCTGGAGCCTGGCGACAAATATCGTATCGAGACATACACCGAAAGGTACAAATAAAATTACAAACAAACAAACAAATAATACACACGTCTCTATATGAAAGTAAATTTCAAGTTATTCGCCAGACAAACTTCTATTTTTTTCCGTTATCTTCTATTCATACACACAGCTTCAAGACCACAATGCGTATGACCATAACGAATTTAAGAAAAGACGACTTCGGCTACTATTATTGTGTGGCACGCAACGAAATGAATGCGACGATGGTCAACTTTGAAATTGCGCGTAAGTTTGTTAACCGGATTTATTACGTCCAAAAAAGAAAAAAAAAATAGAAACGACAAACAGTAAAGGAAATTGGCTATAAACAAGTTTTATGTACTTCTTTTTCTATACTTTTCCCTTTTTGATTTTCCAGCACAAGATCCGAATAGCGAAATACCATATGTGGGTAAGGAAATTAAATACTACGGACAGCGGCCACCGGAAAGTGAATGTCCCATATGTGAGCAATGCCCAGATCCAAGGTAAGAAAGTTACTCCTTAACAAGCGCCAAAAAAAAAAACTAAATAAAAAGTAAAAAAAGAATGGTAGAAATGAAGGAAATGAAGAAAAAAGTTATGGAGAAGCGACTAAAAGTAAGGAAAAGAGAAAAAAAAAACGAAAATTTAAAAAGAAAAAATCCAAGAGTGAGTTCTGTGAGTGAATGTGGCGGACAGTCGCTGTTGAACATCATATACAATTGCTTTTATGATTACTTCTGTTACACGGGTATGCATATGTGTGTGTATGTCCCTGTATGTGCAAATATACAGCTTATAGCACATGTTGAGTCGGTTTCATATTTTTTCTCGCCATTTGCTTTGTCACCTCTGCTTCACGTTTGAATTTTCAATTTTAAATTTACGTACTTTTATGCCGTAAATGTATTTGACTGTGTATGTATGTGTGTGTGTATGTAAGTGTATATGAAAGTTGAACTCATACCACCGTTTTTAATTAAAAATCACAATTTATCGTTGTCCATTGCCCGGTAGCGCGCTACAAATGCTGCTAATAAATTGTGTCATCTACCGTTATGTCGCTGGATTTCCACTGGCACTCACTCATTTAACGGCACATATGTACATATGTGGGATACGCTAAAGCCGATGGCTTGATTCTGCTAAGTTTCTTTGTATGTATATATAGTCCTGTAGAGAACTTAAATCCATGACCACAGAGCTACTTGCATTCTCTGTGGCCATTGTTGTTGTATGAGCATTTCCGTTTTTTAAATAGTTTCCAGTAGCATGAAAAAATACATAATTAAAATTTATTTTTTACTCGATCTTTCAAACATTTCATTTTGTTCGCTGCTACCACCTGGACTAAGGTTATTCGAAAAATATATATACACTTACTCTAGACACTCTTCAGTCTTCTCAGCCCACATATCCACCGCTTTTAAGTCACCACAAATATATTTTCTGAAGCCAGCCGTGAGTTATAGTTTTTTTTTTATTAGTTTCCTTTTCTTTGTATTCCAATTTATATCTCACTCAGAGCACACCCATTTTAGTGTGCTGACCACAGCCTCTCTTTCGCTTCAGCAAAAATAAACATAAATTCAATTATCCTTTTGCCACAGTTTGCGCACAATATAAATTTTGTTTTGTATGCCGTTTGATCCTGTGATTCTGCGTTTGCATTGTCTGCTTTCGTTGGTGGCTTCTTTTTGAAAGGAAAAAATAAAAATTAAAAAAATAATAAAAAAAGGTCTGGACATTGCGCTCTCCCACGCTCACTCACACAAATCGGCTTATTAACACCTGTGCGCGCTTTTTCATCTTTTATTTATTACTTCATATATTCGTTCATTTATTCATGCAACTCATTTATGCGGCAATTAAATATTCATAACTTAAGCACTTATTTCGGACAATTAATTTTTATATTCTTTTGACAGTCTGTACCAGTGCAAGGACTCGATTAATTCGAATTTCGAAATTCAACCAACGGGAAATTATAGTTATCCTGGCTTGCCGAAGCGACAAAAGAGTAAGTAACATTAAAAAATTTTGCCTATATGAATGTGTGTCGATAACAAAGGCGGTTTTAAATTGTTTGTGGTTTCTATTGTTTTGGAATTTTTTTTTTAGAACATATTGGATACAGTTGTTGTGCAAGAAAATGGAATCATAAATATTTTACTCTTGATTCGAAGACGTGCAAACTTCGATAATCAAGGTGAGACTGCACATGGCTGTTCGGTTTGTCAGCGGAACATAGTTGTGGAGCAAGTTCTGTATTCAGATACATAAAATGACTCTGAAGAAAGGAAGAAAGAAAACTTTCAAGGATTTTTAAGAAAACTATTTTCAAGAGGAAAGTGCTGCTGTTTGATCTCTTCACCATGCGTAAATAAAAATAAAGAAATTATACGACAAAGAGTCAGCCTGTCTGATCCCTCTTTTTGTACCGAACGGCTCGGAGAAGTTTTTCCCAATTCTGTCTGCGCTTCTGGTGTGGTTTAGCGTCAAATTGCATAGTCGTATAAGTTTTGCGGGGATACGGAATTCAGACAAAGGGGCCTAAAGGCAGTTCCTTTCGCACATAGCCTCGGACATGCTTTCATAAGCTCTTCACCGACATGTTTTAATAGTTCTGAAGGTAGGCCGTCAACTCCTGCCGATTTGTTGTTTTTTAAGCGGTAAATGGACATTCGAACCTCGTTATGGTCAGGTAATGGAACGTCTTTTCCAGGCAGTCTGTTTTTTCTCCAATGCGACACGGCAGTCCTCATCGTACCAGCTGTTTTTGCGACCTTTATGAAATCCAATAGTTTCGTTTGCAGCTGTACGTGAAGAGCTTGAAATGCTGTCCCACAGGTCCCGTACATCGGGTTTTTGAGCAGTGCTCTCAGAGAGAGAGAGCAGGAGTGTAAGTCGAGTAGAAAATCATTTCGTCTATCACAACACGATCGAACCGGCTTTTGTGTTTTACGATCCGGTGACAGCCAGGTAGCTTGATGTATTCTTTACGGACATATTTCCGTCCCCGGCAAAGTCGATCAGCCTCAACTCATTAACGGATGTTTCATTGTGAAGGCTGAATGGTCCAACAGTTTTACCAAAGATACACTCTTTGTCCACCCTGGCGTTAAAACCACCAAGCACGATTTTCACATCGTGTCGGGGGCAGCGCTCATCTTTGGCCAAAGCGTCCTTCTCTTCTGACCGGGCGTGGGCGCAAATTAACGATATGTTTAAAATTTTCGCTTTGATGTGGATTGTGGCGAGATGCTCATCCACCGGGGTGAATGCCGTTACTCGACGAAGGAGTCTCTCTCCCTTCACAAATCCAATACCAAATTTGTGCTCCTTTATCCACCATCACACTGCTCGGACGGCGGTGATGTTAGCTTTTATTCTTACGAGGACATCGATCAGCTGGGTAGCGCCACCTTCCCAATTAAGGGACCGGATATTCCAGGTGAATGCCCTCAAATCGTGATCCTGAATTCGTTTACGGGAGTCGTCAGCAGAAGGGGGATATTTCATGCGAGGCGTTGTTTTATTTTTCATTGGAGCTGATTTCTATGTAGCGGGTCCCGTACCCAGCCCGCAACATCACTAGGCGAGTTAGTTTGAACACATTTATGTAGCGGACCGCTTGCTTCAAGACCCACGCCAGACCCTTAAACCGAATAAATCGGGGCGGCCCTACTGAAGCTTCCTCTCTCATTAGCCGTGACACAAAGCTCCACACGGGTTGGTTACCGCAACTTGCATAAGGGTTGCTCACGTTTCCAGGGTGCGCGACGTGGATCGAAGTGTACGAATTGCGTACAGCCTCGCAATTGTAACCCCTAGTATCTAGTATGTTCGTACTTACATTAAAGATACTACCGGATTGACTTCTGTTTCATCCTTTCATGAAGACTCGCGGAAACTACCTCGTAAAAGTTACCGAATCACTTATTTCGGCAGTGATCTTTAAATTGGATTGTCTACTCCGACGGGGGAGGACTCTTGGAGCTCTCTAAACTTGCCTTGCACTGCTACAGCTACGTCGTCTAAGGGACGTAAGTTCTACTACGACTCTAGGCTATGAAAATACAGGTTAATAATACCCAAGTATTTCTCTTTATGCGCCCAACACTGTAAATGTGTGTGTTTTTTTTCAATTAATTTTCACACGCACACCTTTTTTAGTTCAACCCAACAGCTTTTTTACGCTTTCACTATTAATTTAGTATGTGCTTTTATCAACACCACAGGGGCGGTAGTGATGTTGAAGGCAGGAAATTGTTCACCAGATTTAGTAGCAGATTTTTTTGTTTCAACAATTTCGGCTTGCAAGCGAATGCGCATAAAAAATTTGTACATTTTATTTATTGCTTTTTTAGTTAACTTTTTTGACGCAAATCTTTTTACTCCCGCTTTTGTCCATATTCATTAGCGCAGGCTGTGGTGCTCTTGCATTCATTCTATTGCATTCATTTTGTGCTAAAATAAACCTTTTTTTTCGAATTTTTTTTTTGTTATAGCTTGGCTGTTGTATGCGGTAGGTAAACCAGTGTTCCATAAGTCCGTGAATGAGATTTACGGTTGTTGGCTACGCGACCCCGCCACTTCAGCGGATATTGACCATGAGAAGACCTATGTCACCGAAGAGAACGATACGCATAATTTATATGAATATCCAACTAAAATGAAATATCGTATGAACTGGTCACCACGGCGGAAATATAACATTCCAGAGGGTTTTCAGGTAAGTCTTTTGGGGATTTTAACGGTAATCGATTTAAGAAATTTTCATTTTGGGAGAAGAAAACCTAAAAATGATTATATAATGAGAGCTAGAAATACCATACAATTATTTTATGTAGTGGTAGGAGAACAAGTACTTCCACAATAGAATTTTATTAAACTTGGTTGCCAACTAAACATGAAATTAAATTAAATAGAATTTAATACCACCGTTTATATTCGAAAAATATTGTCTAATTACAATTACAGGGGGCTTGAATTAATAGTTAATAATTTTTTTTTTTGTAGTGTTACCACATCTTTGAATATCTTTAATAATGACATATTCAGTAGAAAAAAAGTTGCTGCAAAATTTGGCTCAGATACGTCTTTTCAATAGGCTTTCCAGGCGAATTCATTTATTTTTGATGTTAGCGTGTCTTCTTATTTTGTTTTCAAATGTCTTATAAGAGATTTGTACAAATAAAATTTCTTTTGACATGGTTGCCATTTTTTTTTAAATTGAACATAATGAAGAATAGTAAAACATATATTTTTAAATTTTTTTATTAATATATTTGTATGTATTATTCATATGTATTGTATAAATAAATAGATTTTAAAGACTTAGTCGCAGCCAGGGTTGCCACTTTTTTGAAATTAACATCACTGATTTATTTTACATTGTTTTATTTCAAAAATTTATTTACATAAAACTCGTAGAAGTTTAAATGATTAGAAATTTGTTAACATTTTTTTAAATTAATTTTAAATTTATTATGTTCTTAAAGTCGCGAAAATATATAAGAAAAATGTGTAAACTAAGATATATTGAATAGAAATTTATATCAAGTTTGTATTAATTTTCGAAGTTTATTCGTTTTCAAATTTATCTATTATTTTTTAATTAAACTACATTTGTCACATTTTTCAATTATACAAAAATTTTTTAATTATTTGTTATTGATAATTTACTAATTAAAATTTTTTACCAAATTCGGATATATTTTTAAAAATCTTTGATTTTGGAAGTTTTATTATTTTATTTCTTTCAAAAGGGTTTTAAAGTTTTTTGAAGAAATTGGTTAATTATAATTTTTTAAATTAGAAATTATAAGTATTTTTTTTAGTTTTAATATTTTAATAATTGTTGTCGAAATAATTTTCATTTACTTTAATTTTTCTGTATTCCGAAAAATAAAAAAGAATATTCTATTAATATTCTAATATCAAATTTCCAATAGTTAATTTTTTCAAAATTTATTTTGAAATTGCAAGGTGCTTTATATATGTATTAAAAACTTATTATACAAATGGGTTCATAATAATTTATTAGATGAGAATTTCGCTAACACCTGATTAATTCTTAAAATTCATTAAACTTAGGAGGATTTTATTTGAAAATTTCTTCGTTATCATCAAATTATCATTATTTTTTTTCAAACTTATTTAAAACTTTGGTTTCGTTGGGGTAATTTTGAACTCTAATGATGGCAATGTGTAAGTAAGGACTTATTAAATTTAATTAAAAATAATTTCAGCATTTATAAAAAAATATTTTTTAAAATAAATTTAAAATTTTATTTATTTTTAAGGACTAACGGTATATTAAGACTAAAAATTAATACTTAACTCGGATAAGTTTACGTAGCTCGCCGTCATTGAAAAACTTTCTTAAATTTTGAATATTGGTATCAAAAATTAGAACTTTTCTACTAAAATCGGATAAATTGGTAAATAACGATTTTTTTGTTATAAGTTTTTAGTCAGCCCCTAGCTGTTTTCTGTTTCTGTTTTCTTAGTATGAATTCAATATTATTTTTATGAAACGTAGAAAAATGGCAGAAGTGATAGCTCATCAAACTCATCAGACATCAGACGGTTCTTAAAAGTTCTTTACTTTCTTTGCGTTTTCAAATTTTTTTAAGGAAATCAGTCAAATATATTTTATTTAAATAAAACAATTACTCTCAACTTTTAATATATCTATTAAATTTTTTTACGTTTTTAAAATGTCACAAAAGCCAGTGAATAATAGTTTCGAGTCCATTTTCAAAAATTATTAATTTCAAAATTTTTTTTAATTATTCTTAAAAGTTTTACCTGATTGAAGCTTTAAAAGTTTTTCGATAAATTGTTTTAGCAAAACTATAATTTATTAAACTAAAAATTTATTTCCAATTCGCCTTGGTTTGAAATAAATAAAATTTAAAAATTCGTCTTTCAAATTACCATTTCTTTGTATAAAATTCAATGTTTTTTTTTAGTTTAGCAAACAAATTAAAAGAAAAAAAAAATGAAAGACAAAATCGAAACCCCAAATATCACCACATGGAAACATATTTCAGAAAAGTTTTAACACCTTAAATTCATTGCACACACCTGTGACTAACCAGCGGCTAACTTGATGCTGCCAGACTTTTATTGCGACAAGTATGTATGTACATACATACATTCTGCTGCACTTGTTGTGCAACTGTAGTTGTGTGATGGATGCGCTGCAACGTTCTGGCAGCAGTTATTTTTTTCTATTATTATTTTTTTTTTTTTGCACAATAAGAACTTTTTCTCGTAAAACTTGCATTTTGTTTTTGTTCTGCTGTTAAGCAAACATTTTGTGGTTTTAACTTTGTAAACGTACAAACATACTAAATACAACTGTATAGGAGAGCGAGCTAACAGTCAGCTTGCCATTTCTCTGTCCAGCTTAGTTTACACTTTACACCTTTGTACACACACACACACACACACACACAGAAACACATACACACATTTCTAGTGTGTGCGATATGGTTGTGTGTAAACAACATAACAACATTCAATTTGTAGCATCAACAATCTCAGTGGCAATTATACCTGTGCAAATATACATACATACATACATACATACGAATATGCAAAGGAAAGTAGAGATGAAACTATTACAGGCAAGTGACGAGTGATGCACTTGCTGCTAAGTGCTTAGACAAGAGAAAAGTTGACAGAGAAGAAGATTTGAGCACATCGGAATGAATTTGGATTTAAAGATTTTGTGAGCCAATTAAAAGTTTATAAATCTCACATCCGGGTGGCTTATGCTCTGTCATAACAGAAAATATTTAATATTAAATATATCTAATTTTACTTAAGACATTCATTTTTGAATGCAAGTCTCATTTATTTATTGTATAATACAAATACCTATGCAGCTAAGACATTTTGACTGTGGCGATAATTCGACAGAAATCGGCAGAGCTGAGCTGAAGCGTTCATGGTATGTAAGAACACTGCCTAGCTTTGGCTGTATAGGCTAGCTGCATTGACCTGTTGAACTTCCGCTGGTCCTCTGAACAGTGAACCTTCTGTTGCTCAATTGCTGTTCTAAATGAGACTGGACCGAAACTGAGCAGTTGCTCTCACATCTCACGCATGTCAGCCTCTCTACATCTCCCATATGCATATAGAATATTAAACTATTCTAAATATAGAACTCATGTGTGATAACAGTAGGAACGTGTGAGCAAAAAAATTGATGTGTTTTCCTTGGCTGTCAATGCATACGATCTTGTCAGTCTTGCACTTCATCCCACCCATCAGATCTGTCGGAAATTTAATTTTACAGTGCCTTTGTGGTCTGAAACTCAGTACGCATACAGTTGTTTTCATGTAGCCACCTAACCAAACGATCTTTCTTTTCTAATTGCGAACATGAGGAAACTCTGCGAGTTCTATCTCAGCGCCACTCCATGAACCATTTCTGAACCGTTCGTGTAGTCGCTGTAAGTCCCGCTGGCGGTCCAACTTTTAATGTATTTCAGAACCTTCTTTTCCAGAAATAAAACAAGGCGATATGCGGTATACTTGGGTCAATTGGCGGTAGTTTGAGTAACCTTTCAAGTACAGTCGTTCGAGCAGTTCTTAGCGTCATCTCTATTTTGACTGAATGAAAATGTACTATTTCCGTCAAGGCCACATTGGACTGTACTTAGAGTTTTCCTTAATTTATATACTTTCTGGTTGCCAGTCAGGTCCAGTGACCCTCTTAGTGATGTATGACCTTTCAAGTTTTTTCCATCATATTAGTATCTGGAATCTTGCTCATCGCTTATGCCATTTACATAGGAAATTAACTTACTTTCAGCTCAAAAAATTTTCATAAACTCGTTCGCTACGAGTAACCACAAAAATTCCTCTTTTCTTCTTTTCTTAAAAACGAGTTTCATTCGAGTGTAACTAAAGATTTCTTCCGCCCGTCTGTATAATGTGACTTCATTTCATTCAGCGCTTATCTCTCTGCAGCTCTGTAGAATGTTCTACCCGGACTTCTTCCAGACTATTCACGATTGCTTTCCACTTATAAAAAAAAATACTTATATCGCACTTCTATGCTACAGAGCCCTGTTTAGCCTTCATATATAACGTAGGTGCTTGGAATCCAACCAAGTGTCCTCATGGTTAGTTGATCTGTTTTCATACACATGAGTAGCGAGCCGTTCCCTTGCACACCTACCTTCAGTGTGAGCACATGCCACGACACTCTTGAACCTTCCGCAACCTCTTTATGTTTATTGTCATAGAGCTAGCTGGAAAAATAATATATGCTGCTTAAGATTCAAACAGTTTAAAACAACTGATTGGTCAAAGTATTTTATCTTTGTCATTATTTCATAGGAGGCGTTATGAATTCTTAAAAGTTTTATCGCTTGAATGCAAAATCGAAGGTCATTCCGCTGGAGTCTGTCACATGTCCAAATCAATAATGTAAAATAAATGTTTGGACAATATGAAAAAAAAGTTTGATTAAAAAAATATTCAAAAAATACTCTTTTTATTTACAGGGAAATGCTCATGTTGTCTATAATGGTTCCTTCTACTATAACCAGTATAACAGCGATCTGGTGGTTAAGTTGGATTTGGCAACAATGAAAAAAATTAGTAAGTTAAATAAATTTTCAAAAATTGCAACTTAAGAATTTTTAGCATAAAAATTTAAAGTTTGCCATGACGTATGAGTGTTTTTGTGTGCCTCTTATGCCCCTTGGCTAAATGTTGCTCATACGACATGGTGTGACTTTTTATTTATTTTTTATCTTCGTACTTAATTTCCTTTATTCGTATATAATATTTTGTTTCACTTTTCAATTTACTTGTATTATTTCGCCTTTATTATCTTCATTACAGTTACACCACTACCATACGCTGGCATCGCTGCCAACAATAGGCTTTACTCTACCGACCACAATTATATGGACTTCAATGTGGATGAGGTTGGACTGTGGGTGATCTACAGTACATATGACTCGAACAATACGCTGGTTGCCAAGGTAAGTGTTGATATATAGAGCACTCTCACTGCAAATGAAAGAATTTATTTATAATACGCGAAGAAGGGAAAAAACTCCCAGCGGAGCATTGAAGTTATTTTATGAAACAAAATGCGATAAAAACTGCTAAAAATTGAAAAAAAAATGTTTAGATTATTTTAATTTGAAAAAGTTTTAGCAAACGATTTTTGAAACTCTCATAGTATTACTGTACTCCTATCAATGTGTTTTGAAAAATCTTTATACACAAATTTGGTTCGGAGAATGAACTGTTTTTACAAAAATGTTATTTTTTCACGAAGAATCTCAGAACGCGTTTCAATATCTTTTGAAAATTCTTTTTACTAAAGTGTTTTTTTTTTTCACGAAGAATCTCAGAACCCATTTCGCATTTTATTTCAGGTCTTTCCCACATGTCAACTGGGTTATAATGAACTTTCGTTCTTAACTGACACTTATTTATCTGCATTCATAGCTGCATACATATACACATACATACATATATGTATGTTTTGAAGTAGTGACATTCACTTTAACTGCCACTTTTATTCTTGTTGTCGCACCACTTCAAACTTAGCGACATATATACATATGCACATTTGTGTATACATATGAATTCATAGTGTATTACAAAGGAAAAGCCAACTTCATTCATTTAATAGCTGACAGGTGTTTGAAACAGAATGCCATTCTCGTTATTTGCCATGGTCACTGCTGGCAGAGCGTGCACACTTCTTCAAGGTGATGAGCGAATGCTTCTTTGTATGCACGTTGAGTGGGTGTACTGAGTGAAGTATTTTCGTATGTGACACCAGCAGTTGTTGCATGTTTTTAAAGTATGTGTGTAAATAAAAAAAAAAAATATTTTTGTTTATATATTAAGGTATTCATTGTTTATCTGGCTCGTTCGTAACTTTGAATAGATTTCCAAAACATTTCAGACTTAGTGTAATATTTTTTTTCAATATTACTTCGTAGTAGTGTTAAGTTAAAAAAGTCACAAGATAAAGAGTCACCTTGACTGAAATCTCATTTCTCCCAATTCTGACTGAGCTTTTGATAGAGCCTGGCTTTCTTATCCGTTTTTCAGTCCTTTTTTTTATCAAATTCAGACAGTGTAAGCATGGATCATCCCACGCCAATTTAGTAGGACGCTTGACAGCTTTCATGTTTGCTTGCTTAGACGCTTAACAACACCAACAAGTGCTGAAAAACGCCAATTCCTAAGGGCTGTAAGCTTGACTTACAAAACCACTGGAACAAGCCCTCGCTCCACAAATTTTATAGAGCCAAAGCGCTCAATAAATTCTTAACGCAACAAATGGAATGGTCACTCCGCACCACCTCTAATTTTTTCCTTTTTCCGAACTCCATTAAAAGTAAAAAGGCTCTATATTTCTTCATACCAAGGTATTATTTAAAATCCCCTTCCTACTCCTAAACATCCTCTCCCTCCTACCCCCAAACCTTGACACAGATATAGAGGCATAGATACAGCAAACTTAACATGCTATTGAAAGCAGTTTCGAAACCCACGAGGTAGTGTGTACTGACTCCTTTCAACGGCTCTTTTTCATGATTTAACGCATGCGAAATATCTGGTTATTAGTGGATTTGCTAACCCTAAAGTCATACTGATAAGATATTAGGGATGGCCTTTTACTTTTAATATAATGTTTACTTTTTAATATTTGGGAAGGACCTTATTCCACTATTTATGCCTGTTACGCATCGGAACTTGCTGCTTCTTTAGTTTTTCAACTCGCAATCAATATTCGAACTTCTACATGGCCCGGTTATGAAGTGGCTTTTCTATTGTCGACGAGAGGAAATCGAGTATGTCATATCCTGCTGTTTCTTACACACTATTATACTGCAGGGTATAGAGATTTTCCGTCCATAAACTCAGCATTCCCCGAACATCGGTTGTTAGTTTATATTCTCGGTGCCTGGATGAGTTTGGCCATTCTTTAAACCTACTGTAAGACTGTAAGACACTGCATTTAGTATAATTTTCGAGCATTACTCCGACCAAATTTTCAAGCTCTTCATATGCACATCTACCGTATATTTTTGTCTGTTAAATTCAACTTGTTGTCCTAATCAGATCTATATATCTATCGCACCAACCATATGCTGTGATTAATCACAACGTTGCAAGGTAGATAGTTACTTTTCTTTCCACAGCAACATGTCAACCTTCAACGCATTAATTATTCTTTCAACCTTGATCAAATACAATGGTTTTATTTGCAGCTATACGTGTGGAGTTTGAAATGCTTCTCCACAGTTCCCTTAGAGAGCAAGAGTACCATTCGAGCTGAAAGCCTTTTGGTTTTTGTTGTTATTACAGCTTCGCGACATCAAAACTTCCTTGCATTCGCTCTCGTTTTCGACGGCACAGAAGCGGGTTTGCATCTTTCTTCAAACAAGGCAATTAGAGTCTCAAGATGTAGGTATATCCATAGCACTGAAAGCGCGTTATCTATCACAATACAATCAATTTGATAGCGCAATTTTTATGCGGTGACAGCCATGCATCTTGATGAGTTTTCTTGTACCGAAGTCCAGTTCAGCAGAAAACCCTTATAACGTTTAAATTTTCATCTGTTGTGTCATGGAATCTTCTTTACCCAACCTGGCTTTAAAATCGCCATACAAGAACTCGACCTCGTGCTAGGGGCAGTGTTCATAGGCATGTTCATAGGCGCTCATAAATGATTTTATTTGTCACACCAATTAGTCTCTTTCGTCGGAGAATGAGAATACTTAAATCAGAGAATAAGTCTCTTTGCCTCCACAAATTGAAAACCGGGGTTGCATAGCTCTATATGACCGCTGAGGTATTATAGATTACGGAAAGATTGGGTTTATGTCACCCATCGCATTTCCGGATCTTTATACATTCATCGTGGTCGTCATGAAAGTGGAGTCTTTCATCCGTAGCTTCGATTTACTTTCCAGTGGAGTTGACTTTCCTAAAGATTTGCGGCGTATTTTTAAGGGAGGCTAATGTCCATACATACTCATTGGCGCATGCAACGGGATGTCTTTCAAATAGTTATTAGATATTGATTTATTCATTAAAGACTGCACTCAATATTTTTCTATTCAACTGTTGCATTTCTTCAAAGAAGACGAAGAAGCAGAAATTTCACATTACTCTACCCTGCATTCTATTATCTCAACTGCTTACCTGATTTGCTATTCTTTTGTCGTTTCTGTTGCTTTAGCATTTTATCTCTCTACTTTCCATTCTACTCTTAGTTTCTGTACTTTATCGAGCGCTCAAGTTTCTCATATTTATGTAACGCTAAAATAATAGCACAAAAGTTCGCCCTCCAGCCGGAATGTATTTGTTTCTAATTGAACTGCATCAAGCTTCTTCTGCCAACACGTCAGTGTGTTCCAGTACAGACTCCTGTCCGTGTATTGTGCTACTTTCAGGCGTTTGCATTGAGTGTCCTTGCACTGTACGTATTTATTTATTTTTCTTGCAATACTTTCTGTTTGCATTTAGTTTTAGAGCACCCACTTGGACTCTTTCACATTTCCTTTTATCTATGTATATAGAGACCCATCATATTAGTCATTTGTAGCCAGCGAAAAGTAAGCAATAAAGTAATATGTGAATAAAGTGGGTAGGTAAGTAAGATAGTCAATGCATATTGTATGAGCAAGAGTGGGAGTAAGAGTGGGAGTAAGAGTGGAATTGTTGTATTCAACAGAGTTCAAGACTGCATTGCAGCATGCCATTGTGTGTGTGTGTGTGTGTGTGTGTGTGTGCATGTGTATGGGGCACTAAAGTATTCGGAAGGAAGTGCTCTCAACAAGCCAGTGAATTTCATAATGGTAATCTTCTGCGCAATTTTCCATTTTATCCAAGTTTTCTTGAAAAAACATAAGCGGATGTAGACAATTTCTGTAAAACAGTAAATAGAAGTAGGTGAGGGAAAGATGATGTACATATGTTAAGCGTAATACTTGAGCTTATACTTAGAGAGTTTGTACGAAGAAAAATTCCACTTCTGTTGGTAACAAAAGCACTTTAGGCAGGAGTAGGTATTTCGAGTGCTTGTGGTGGTAGAAGTAGTTAAGAATTAGTTACTATTTTTGTGCATCCTTGAACATATTTCTGGTTAATGTTTTGAATTTATACCTTTTCATTAAAGCATAATGAAAATAACTGCTCATATGTGATGTGGGAAAACTATTTTACGCATTTCGTTGCTATGGCGACGGCAATGGAGATTTGCTTGATTAAAAATAACGATGTGAGCTTTTCTAAAATTAGAACCTAGTGATTTCGTTGTGTTAATAATCGCAATAGCTGAGTGATTAGCAATGTGTACTGTCATTGTGAATAGCAGAGTTTGAGTAGTAGTATAAACTGTAGGTTCTTCTTTCAAATTTTTAATTAAAAAAAAAAATGGAGGTGAGAAAACACAAGTTAGCTGAGAATGGGTCTGTCGAAATTCCACCACCAACGCAAACAGAAATTCGCCATATGATTCTTTTCGGTTTTCGGCGTAATTCACAGCCAATATAAATATTTGGAAACCAAACAGCATTCCATGGCATGGAGGCCAACTGGACCGATTTTCATAAAATTGTTTGTGTGTACTAAAAAGGATTACAGAACGTTTTAAATTTACTTTATTGCGGCAAGTGGATCGTATTTATTGTTCGATTGAATGGGTAGTTTGTTTTTAATTGTTGCATCCCTACGTACATTAATGGGTCGTAAAAGAAGCAGGAAGACCTCGTCACGATCCATCCGTTGGTTCGATCCCTGCCATAAGAAGAGTGATGAGGAGATGTGGTGATCTCCGAAACAGCTGTCACCTCTACCAATTTTCTTTGTTGAATAAAAAAAATTAATATAATGTCCGCAAAAACAATTATATAAATTTTCATTTCAAGTTTTTATAATACATAACATTGAAATTTGGTTAAGTATTCGCACCGTCAGACAAACCATGTTACGACTTCTATTTTAGTAAACCATATTTGTTCAAAAAATTTTGAATTTTTCGAAAATGAAGCTAAGCCAGAGAATATTAAAGCTGAGTTAGCGATTTTTTGGAAATATTTCAGTAAAAAATATTACGTATACGCAGCGTTGGTCTTATAATGAGAAAATTGCTTTGAAATCAGTTCATTTGTTTCAAAAAAAAAAAAAAAAAAATATAAGTAAAAGCACAATTATTAAATCAATTTGGGTAAAACAAAAGAAGATCATTTTGGAACCTATGTTTTCTGGTACGTTTTGGTACATTCCCGCTCACTGTTTAGACTCAATATTATTTTTCGCATTCAACGTTGTGTAACTTGCTAGATTTTTTAGAAAAACAATCCATTCTTTTTAACAATTGAAGTTTCAATATTAATTGACCATATTGCATGCCAGGTTTTGTAGGCGTTAGTTGGTATCCATAGCTTTTGAAGTTTGATATAAGCTAAGCGTGCTTTGAGTATACCAAGAGAATAGACGCATTTAGCAATACGGCGAAAAATGTATAAGTTTTTAATTTTTTTGGGGCTAATTTACTGAGTTATTAAGTTTTTTAATAACAATATGCTAAAAGTGGGATAAGAGATTCTTTAGAACATGCAAAAATTCATTTCTGCCACTCAGAAGAATGATTTAATAGAAAAATTGAGGAAAAATTAAATTGGAGTTTCAGAATTGTCGTTCGCTATTTGAAGGATGCCAAATCATATGGAACTCATTATAAAGGGAGAAAGCGAGCTTCAAGTCCCCGTGAAAAATGCAAGATACTAAGAGTTGCTTTAAATTCTACTAATTCGGACGCAAAGATAAGACAATTAGCTGGTATAAAAGTGAGCCTTTCAACTGTAAAACACTTGAAACGTTTGAAAATTAAGAAAAGCCCACCACTGAATGTTAATCGTAAGCAGGCACGCATAAAATTTGAAGGGAATTACATGGCTTGGACTATACAAAGTCTGACATGTTGTAACGATTGGCGAATGGTCGTTGATAGATGAAAGGAAGGCAGAAATATTTTTGACCCGTCATAGCCGAGCGGATGGTGCTACGGTTTGGGGTGCAGTCACTTCTTACAACACAGTCGACCCCTTATTTTTGTGCACCAAACTGTGAATGAAATACACTACAAATGGCTGCTAGACTCGGTTTTTCTTGAGATTGAAAAACTTTTTGGACCATTTGCCATAGATTTTTTAGCAAAACAATGTTTCTATTAACAACGCTAAGGTGGTAAAGTCGTTTATAGTAATCCTGAAGGTTGAAATAATGCCTTGGCCACCAAACTCTAGACCTTAACGTGGTCGAACACGTATGAGATTGGATGTCAAGCAAAGTTTATGCAGCAGGAAAACCATACGATGAAAATCCATCCTTAATTGCTGCAATTAAGTTGGCATGGCAGGAAATACCACTTCAATATCTCTACATCTTGCACGCTTCCTTAAGGGATCGAGCTTTTGAAGTCAACCAAAATAACGGTGGCCGTACTCATTACTAAAATTTATTCTCATATTATTTTTAATGGGAATTAATGAAAAATAATGTAGTAATTATGCATTTTTAACGAAATAGATGTTTTTATATCTGGATATATTTCATTGACATACGATGAAAGAAGTAAAAATTCTTATGTATGTAAAAATAATTTTAAGTTTTTTATTTAAGAATATTAAAAGATATTCAGTACGCAACATATTTGGAGACAAGCTTTTAAAATTTTTTTGTGCCTGAAAGCAAAGTAAAAGTGCTTCTAACTTATTGAGCGGCGGTGTACTTTTATAATGAAAGCCTCTCTGCAGCTCTGCTTTGCTTTGCTTAAAAAGAAATTTTTGTATGCTAATCACTAATATATTCTATTTTTTCTCTTTCATTACAGCTCGATGCGGACACACTGAAAATGCAGTACAATTTCAATATAACGTTGGATCATCGCAAATTCGGTGAAATGTTTATTGTATGTGGTCACTTGTATGCCATTGACTCGTGTACGGAGACAAATTCACACATACGTTATGTCGTTGATTTATACAATGGCAAATTGTTAAATGTCGATCTGCCATTCTCGAATCCTTTCCGCAAGACAACCACCGTGGGTTATAATCCGCTTACTGTGGTAAGTACATATGGCTTGGCTATTAACGTCTGCATGTACTTGGATGTGGAAGTAAAAAAAAAAAACATAAAAAAACATGTTCATCTTCACATGCAGCTTTACTGGTCGAGTCAATTGCTATGTTTGCATAGGTATGTAGAGGCAGTAATAAGAAAAATAAAGAAAAAACCAGACAGTAAGAAATAAAGAAATGAAAAATTATGCTAATAACTTTGTATTGAAGTGTATGTATGTATAAGCAGACAGACAGTAGACAGCTTGTCTCTTTGACATCAATTATAATAAAAATGAACTGCAATTCCATCTGCGGATTGTAACAGGCGATGAAAAATTGATCACTTACGAGCACAAGCCGTAGTGGTCAAAGCTCGGGGAAGCGGCCCAGACGGTGGCCAAGACTGGATTGACGGCCTGGAAGGAAGGTGTTTGGTGGGATTGGCAAGGACTCATCTACTACGAGCTGTTCCCCTATGAGCAAACGCTCAATTCGGGACTCTACTGCCAACAAATGGACCGCTTGAAGGCAGCACTCATCCATAAGAGGCCATCTTTGATCAACAGAGGCCGAATTGTGTTCCATCAGGACAACGCCAGGCCACAAACATCTTTCGTGACGCGTTAGAAGCTCTTCGAGCTCGGATGGGAGGTCCTAATGCACCCACTTTATAGTTCGGACCTGGCATCAAGTGATTACCATATTTTCCTGTCCATTACAAATGCGCTTAATGGTGAGAAGTTGGCCTCAAGAGAGACCTGGGAAAATTGATTATCCGATTTTTTTGTCAATAGGGACGCAGTATATTGAAAATGGCATCTCGTTGGCAACAAGCTTACAAATAAAACGGCGCATATTTGACTTAAATCGCACAAATGTACACAAAGTTATCAATTTTGAAAAATCAATGTCGAAACTGGAAAGGGCAGAGTCATGAAGAATCGAATTTCTTCTATTTCTTGAGTTTGACATGGATGTGCACTCCAGTGAGTAATGTATTCTATGTGGTGAGCACCTATATTTAAAATACTCCCGAATCGGAGGTCCACCTCCGGAATTTGGCATATTTTCCCTAAATCACAGTCTATTCGCAGAAGCTGCCGTACCCCCATAAGCTCATATATGGGAAATTGCTTGTCAAATTTGCTATTTTCTAGCTACAACAAGCAGTCACATTAAATAATTATGGTCACACGCATACATACATACCAAGCCTCAACAGTAGCTGTGTATAGCCATGGGTGTTATGCGTGCGGGATTTGCCTATGGAGTGCAAAAGCGGAGCGTATCATTAGTTTGATTGCTTGCGTGTTACCTGTCGCTGATAGTCAGCAGTAGTAGTAATGGTTGTAGCTTTGTAATTATGAGTTCGGTCAAAGAGTGACACCGTAATTCGTTAGCCGACATCAGTAGAACGTCAGTTATGGTTGTTGCACTGCTGCTGTTGGCCAGCTTGACCGCTCGGTCCCTTGGTTGGCGGAGTGCATGTCAGAAACCTTTGCTATTGTTGACTATCTGCCATTTTGCGGCCGCCTTAAATGCAATAATACTAATGAATAACTGTCTGTCTGTCTGTCTGACTGATGACTTGGTGCATGGTGGTAATGTATGTAGATGAATTGTGCGTATCACTTGTCGCTGGATGGTTAAGGTGATCATCTTATACGTACACTTATGTCTATTTGCGAGAAATAATACCTTGCCATTCGGAGTCGCTATGAAATTGTAGCTTCAGAGTGCAAAGCACAAATTTGAGGATATATTTCAAAAATTGTCCAAAATGCTAGAGTAGTGGGTTTCGATTATATGTGGGCTCATATGAGTGTTTTTGGTTTTTGCGTGCAAATTACTTTACATTGAGTGACATTTGTGGGACATTGCATGATGGATGTAAAGCATATCTGAAATGAGCAATGCTTAAATGATTTTCGCTGTTTTGGAATTAAAATTGGTAAGAGTTAATGAAAAAATCGCTTAGCGGCGAGCGAATCGCCAGTACCAAGTGCAAAGGCAACAAAAGAGCCCCTCAAAGTTAGATGTAAGAGCGCTTTTAAATATATGGGATAAAGAGATATATGCAAGGCGGAGCAACCAGCCATGGTTCCTCACTTTCGGATTCCGATTCTCTTTGGATATTCAGCTTGAGATTTTTTTTTCGGAAATTTATGAATCACTGTAGCATTGCAGCTAACAGCAGTCGCTCATAAATTTACGGATTGTTAGTACTTTGAACTTTTTTGAAACATTTTAAGCAACATTTTTTCTAATTCTAATTACTTCGATATACTTGATTTGTTTGTTGACAATTTATAGATATTTTTGCTTATATTCTTTACAACAAAAGTCAAGAACATGGTTGCAAGACTTTTGCTTTCCTTGTTTGTTTTTTTTTTTGTTTTTGGTGCACTATTAAATGCTACCCATTTATGATTAAAAATGAAAAGTGAAAATCGCAGAATATTATTGGTTGGGATCTAAATATATTGGCAACTTTTAAAAAGTTTTTTTGTTAATTTTTCCCCAGAAAAAAAAAATATTCTGGAAAAATTTTAATTGACTCTTTTTTAGGGGAAAATAAGCTATAGCTATGCAAAAAAATTCGTTTTTTAGAAGAAAAGTTTTAGAGCAAAATAGTTTTGATTTTTTGAGAAAAAAACTTAATTTCCGATTTATGAAAATTTTTTAATCTTATAATTTTTTCAAAAAAAAAAAAAAATAAAAAAAAATAAAAAAAAATTAAAAAAAATATAATCAAAAATTATTCCTCCATATAGAATGAACAAAATTTTTAAATTACTTATTCTTCGACCTTTTCATGATATATGGTTTCTCTGTTGAGTCCTCTTTGTGATGTCTCTTATTGCGTACTCTGACTTTTTTTTGATCAACTTCTATGCCATAAATTGTTGCCGTCAATATTGCTTTCATATCCTGACGCATTTTTGGTTTATTCCATAATAATAATTTGTATTTGTAAATATGTATATGTATGTATGATTATCATACGTAGCAAACCAGCTTGGCAATAGCAAAAAAAAAAAAATATTTTTATTAAGCAACCAGCTTACAGCTCTATAAATATACTGTTTTGCCATAATTTTTTTTTTTTGTTTTAAAACATTGAACACAGCTATGGTAGTCATTATGAGAAGAAAATGTCAGCGGTTTTAATGACAGATTTGCCTTTTTCGTTTCTTTTATTTTATGTTAACTTTTTTCTGCCCACAAACTCAACAGAAATGTGCGAAATTATTCCAATTATTATTTTTTTCTTTAAGTGTATATTATATTATACAGACAATTACTATAATATATATATATATATATATAATATCTTATTATAGTATAAACTGTGAGTCTCTCCATTTTTTGGGAAAACATCAAGATTTTTATTTTTTGGGATGCCACGCCATATAATATTTGACCCATTATTACGCCTGTTACCCTTTGTTTAAATAAACGATTTCTTATATGAATTTTGAAAAAAAGTCTTTATTGAAAATTAATTTTAATCCAGTACATATTAAAGGTTGTTATCTATGACCTTTTGCCATTTCTCGCAAAGTCTACGTGACACTCACGCCTTCAACTTAGCCAGCCTTTTTTATATGACTCCTAACTGTCCCGCGATGGAGCCCAGGCGCAGCTACCCGCAAAGAGCTTGCATGCGGATTTTGCTCCACTAGTCGCTGAACGAAGTTCGTTTTTTTTTTCATTGGTCTCATGAGACGATGGCTGCTCGATATTGGCGTCCGGTTGGGATAATAAAATTTTATGCTCGATAGTAAACCGCTATCGGGGAAATCTTTTCCACTGCAATTGCAGCTGCCACAACCGACTGAACTTGTCACAAAAGTACAGAGCCGCAACATAATCATCAAATCATTATCCCGCAGCGCTTGGGGAAAAGTAAAAGGAACGTTGCCTGCAACAAGCAAGGTGATTGGTCGGCTGAGATGCAGATGAGTAATCTCCAAGCATGTCAGAACACTGCGCTCAGAGCCGTGATAGGAGACCTTTTGTTGTCATCGTAGCAGCATTTGTACAGCTAAACAGCTATGTTACGAATAAAAAATAATAATATGATGTTGGGTAAACAATATGTGCTGGGATGCTGCTATGGCATTTACTTAAGACTCAATCCCACACTTCAAGATGTAAATAATAGACTTCACAGACTCCATTTAGCACAATTTACAAAAACCGCTAAACAGCATGGCATACGGACAGGCTTTAAATCCCGTTCACCGAGAGTACCTCAATACCAGCTCTGCTCCAGTTCTCGATTTCAAAACATCAGCCTTTTGCAGACGCATAGCTTGAGCTGCTTAAAAAGAAGTGGATATTAATGGGGAGGAAAATTATAATTTAATTAAGATAATTAGTTCTTGAAACATAAATAAGGCTTGGAATAATCAAAGCTGGTGAGAGTGTATTAAAAGCTTTGCTCAAACATTTGTTTTACACGAATACAATAAAATGAGTCTAGATGATCTTAAAGGGGCTTTACGACTATGTGGTGAATTCGTAAATGACTTTTATGAAGAGGCAAATTTCTATTCGCATACCAGTGTAAGTTGCTTAACAGGATAGAAATAATTGCCTTTACATATACATATTCCAATTGATCTCTCTTAGAATTGATAGTCTGGATTCCATACAAGTGGGTCTAATTTGGTAACGAATGGGTCATTGGAGTAGTTAACCCAACATTTAATGAAAGCTGAGAGTTATTTTGCCTTATCAAAACAAGAGCTGATATTATTCCAAAAATTTAACTTAAGTTCCATTGTTTCAATATAAAAAGATTTTTATGGTACACTCCAGGAAACAAGTGATATCGACCCATTCGGACTATAGAGAAAGTGAGCTAGATTAGCAGGTTTATAAGGGAACGAAGAGGTGGTTAGTGTCAAGCGGAAACTCATTGTTGCTGGACATAAATACATACGGTGGGTTGGTCGAAGTTAAGTCGCTATAGATAGAAATTGAATCTATGGCATAA